TGAGCTCAGGTGAAGGTGTGATAATGAAGGGGGGGAGTAGTTCCCTTTGATGGACACCCAGCCAGCCAGTTAGTTGTAAAATCCTTCTTGGTGTCTGTTCTCTGCTTGCTTTACCTGTAAAGGGTTAACAAGGAGTGGGCACCTGACCAAGAGAGCCAATGGGAAGACTAGAACTTTTAAAAATTGGGAAATTTTCCCTTTGTCTGTCTGTTCTCTGGGCTGCAGGGACGGAGCAGCAATGCTATAAGCAGGAATGCTGTGTAAGGTTTGAAAAAGTATCTTCCATACCTAGAAGAAATTATTTGGATAGGGAATGTTTAGTTAGACACAATCAGGTTTATTTCTTATTTTGGCTTGCGGATCTCCTCTATGCTAACCCCTGATGCTTTTGTTTGCTTGTAACCTTTAAGCTGAACCCCCAAGAAAGCTAGTTTGGGTGCTTAATTTTTGGAATTGCTCTTTTAAAATCTAGCAAAAGCCTAAGTCCCAGATGTATTTTTTTCCTTTCTGTTTTTAATAAAATTTACCTTTTTTAACAGGATTGGATTTTTGGTGTCCTAAGAGGTTTGTGCATGTTGTTTGATTAGCTGGTAGCACAGCTAATTTCCTTTGTTTTCTTTCTCAGCTCTTCCCGGGGGGTCAGGGGTGTGTGTGTGAGTGTGAAAGGACTTGACAGTACCCCAAGGGAGGAATTCCCAAGTGTTCCTTCCGGGGTCCAAGGGTTGTTTTGTTTTTTTTTTGCATTTGAGTGATGGCAGTGTTTACAAAGCCAAGATCAGAGAAAAGATGTAACCTTGGGAGTTTAATACAAGCCTGGAGTGGCAAGTATTAATTTTTAAAATCCTTGCGGGCCCCCATTTTCTGTACTCAAAGTGACAGAGTGGGGATTCAGCCTTGACAGAGGGTAACCCTATAACTCGTACAGAGAATGTAAAAGTCAACGGTAAAAGCGATTTAGGGCAAATTACCGATTCTAACATCACTCTTATTAAAACAGATTTTGTCAAAGAGGAAGATTATTTACCAAATCAGAATGTAAATATTGTAATCCTCTATGAGTTTACTGTAAGTGTGCCTTTAGCCAGAATCTATCTTGAATGGAATGGTGTTAAACATGAAGTTATAGCTGGTGTACGGAAGTTATTGCCTAAGCATCTTTTGATTGGGGATGATATTAAAGCTTTGTTCAGTCAAGTTGATGACATAAACCAGTCACAGGAAAGAAATAATCCTGAACCTGTGTCTATTAGAGACAAGGATTTGCCTATGGAGGGTTTCTCCAAATGTTTGTCTCAGGAAGATGGCATATGTGGAAAAAATTCCTAAGTGTCTGTCTGGTATCTCAGAAGTGAATCTGGCATTAGAGAAGGCTCAGGGAAATGTTTCTGTAAAGCAGATTAAAGTTGGTGATCAGGTTAAAGCCCTAACTGAGGAAGGAAAGGGTGCAGTCTTGATAAATGATGGATTGTCGGCAAGGTTAGTGGAACATGAGTATCCTTATACCTTACCTGTTACCAGTGTGGAGAATTGTGACAGTAAAGGAAATGTTCCTGTGTCTGTTAGGGATAATGACTTACCCATGAGGGGAGCTACTCCAATCTCCAAGCAGTTATCTGTGAACAGCCATGTGTGCTGGGAAAAGAGTGAGGAAATCTCAACTTGTTTGTGTGCTGCAAATAGCAGTGTGCCTAATAAAGGAGAATGTACCTGCAGTCCTTTGTGGAGCAGACAGAAAGTGCTTCTCAGTTTATGCTAGTTGACAATTTATCAGTTGTCCCAGAGCTGGATCTGGATTTAACTAAAGCCCAGGAAGGAAATGTTTCTAAGTTTTTGTCCGTTAGGGAGAATGACATTGTGAATAGGTTGCATCCAGTTGATGTCATAAATAGCTCCCAGAGACCAAACAATTCTGGTGCTTCTATTTTGCCTGTTGCTAGTGTGTGTGTTTTTTTGTTTTGTTTTGCTGGGTAAAGATATGACAACCTAGTATGATCAGGGTGATATCATAGCCAAGGCACAAGAAAAGCATGAAGGTGATTTGACTATGTTACCCACTGACAGTGTGGAAACTTGTAACAGGAAAGAGAATACGTCTAATCTTGTGATTATGAAGTCTAACAGTTTACCTGAAAGGGGGTTTTGTGAAAATCCTCCTGATGGGCCAGAGGTGATTCTGAATGTATGTGAAACTCAAGAAAGAGTTTAGTGATTTGTCTGTTATGTCCAGAACCGACTTTGGCACAAATAAAGCTCAGAAAGAATCTGTTGCAGTACATGATATTGCAAAAGAAAAGGAATATCTTAATGAAGTCTTTGAAGTCTGTGAAAAAGAATTGTTTCCATTGACTCTTAATGGGCCATTGTTGATAATAAACAGTCTCTCTTCTGGGGAAAGTGTGTTGGTGCCTAGTGACCAAAGTCTTTCAAATGAAAATGAATCCACTGAATTTGCTTTGAAAAAATCCATTGTAGATAGCTTTGAGGAGATTTCAGATGGAATAAAAATTATTAGGGAGTTTAAACAGCCCTATACGCTTAACCAGCTTGTTGGGGAGACAATGGTGTTGGGACAGGACCATCTCCATGTTGATTCTTTGAGTAAACAGTCTGTATCTCAGGTTCAGAAGGACGACTGGACAGCTGAATCTGCAGAGCAGGAGAGCAGTTGTGCAGTTAATCTCTCGAGAATATAGGGGATGGCAGGTAAACTCTCATCTCTAGATATTTTGGGTATGACCTGTAATCTCTTAGTAGACTTGACATCTGGTTCCGTGTGGAAGCAGAGGTTGGTAAGGGAAGGACAAAAGAACATGAGTAACATGCTAGTGAAAAGAAAAGGAGTACTTGTGGCACCTTAGAGACTAACCAATTTATTTGAGCATAAGCTTTCGTAAGCTACATCCGATGAAGTGAGCTGTAGCTCACGAAAGCTTATGCTCAAATAAATTGGTTAGTCTCTAAGGTGCCACAAGTACTCCTTTTCTTTTTGCGAATACAGATTAACACGGCTGTTACTCTGAAACCATGCCAGTGAAAATGGATGGTGTCTCTTTAAGACAGAGTCCAGCCTTGGAATTGGTAAAGCTTGAGGATCTGAAAACTAGTAAACAAGCTAGTGTCTGTGTTGATGCAAATTACCTGACTGACTGGAGGGGCGGGGGGAAGACTTGCCCATAGCCATTACAAACAGGACGCACCCAGCCAACCAATGGATTCTGTTACACAAAAGAGTTCAGATTTTGACCCTACTGGACAGGGAGGAAAGGAAGGATTAAGCCTCGCAAATAAAAGCCACAGGTTAACTTTAAAATACCAAAACCCCAAGGAAGTGGTTAAACTGAATACCTATGTTAAGGAAGACCCTGAGGACAAGAAAAAGCTACAAAGATTCAAAAGAGATATTGAACAAGCTGACCTAAAGAATGATTTATCTAAAGCAAAGGTTTGGCATGACAAAAATAATTGTAAAATGTACACGATAGAACTGATAATATTATTGCCAATGATTGTAACTAACTTGTTGCTGATGCCAAGAACTGTAAAAATGTACAATGTGCATGGTCTTTTGGAAAAGCCCTTCAACATGTTAAGCGTGGTACATAATAGAAACCCTTATGCTGTTAGCCTAATAATGTTGAGGCTTCACAGCTAATGCATAGACATATTTCTAAAACTTTCCACACCAGAAAATAAATAACCCTCAAAAGACGTGTGGGGAGATGTTTGTGTTTTTGTGTATTTACATATGTATGAGCAGGGTCAACAATGTAATCAAGAGTCCCTGTCTATGGTGTATTCTGATATCATTTAAATGCATTGTAAACACAGGATATCTCAGTATTCATCTCTCTTTGAAATGTACTGTGAATGGTGGAGGAAAAAGCAAATGACTTTATGTTAATTCGTATAGCTAAGTACCAGCGATGGACCTCCTTCAAAGTCATCCTAATTACCTTTTGTTCCCTGAGGAAATCCCAACAGTGTCAAAGAGGACATAAAATTGTATAAAAGATCCTTGGGTCCTGATTCTGTCATTTCAGATCTGCTTCAGCTTCATCACGGGAAGACTGAGGCACAAGACTGAGGTCCCAGTTATGCTGGTCTGCTCTGAATATGAGATTTGGACATTGGACTATAAGCTATGAACTATTTCTGAAAGAATTTTTTGCAACTACAAAGATCACCATCTCTGCTATAAATCTGCACCTCAATGGATTGAACTTATGTCTGTATATATATTGATCTTTTAACCACACTCTCTCTCTCTCTCTCTCTCATTTTTTTAATAAATTTTAGTTTAGTTAATAAGAATTGGCTGTAGCGTCATTTGGGTAAGATCCGAAACATTCATTAGCCTGGGAGGTAATGTGTCTGATCCTTTTCTTTTATATGATGAAATACGATTTCCAGATATTTGATGTGGGTACCTGGATCACTTTAAGGGAACAGTGTTGTTTGGACTGCTGAGTAACCAGTAAGGTAATAAAGAGGCTGTTCTATACTGGCTTGCTAAATCTAAGTATTAGAATAGCCACCAGCTTTCTGGGGATGGTCTGCCCCATTCTTTGCAGTTCACCCTAATTGAGTGACCACAGCTGGCTCCCCACTAGGAGCCCAGTCACACTCGGACTGCACCTTTCCCACTGGCCACCCTTCTTCGCACGGGCTCGCACTGCCACATATTCCAGCGCTGGAGGGGGTGAGGCAGACTCTGGTGCACACGTCCCTGGGCGGGCCACCACGCAGTACGATGATGCCTCATTGCATGAGACCTGCAGGCAAAGGACGTCTCCACATGGGGTGCCAGGCACCGGGCAGAGTGTGTGACCCCACGCTGCGGCGGGCGGGCTGACCGGGGGGGGGGGGCAGCGAGGCCCTCAGGGTACGGTACCTGCCGGAGCCTCGCTCTGGTCTGGGGGGAAAAACCTTCGGTCATGAGACAAAGAGGCTGGCTCTGAGGACAGCCTCGATTTGGCGCAGCCGGGCGCGCCGTACGCCGAGTTGGGGCGGGTCTAGGCCGCAAGTGGAGGGTAACGGCGGCGACAGCCTCACTCTGGTGCTTGCTGGGACTGGGACCGAGGGACCCCTGGGGGAGCCTGGAGCAAACCAGGGCCAAGGGTCGCTGCTCCTCAGCGGAGTCATCCCTCCCGAACTACGAGTCCCACCATGCATTGGGTTCTCGCGCCGCCCGACCGCCGTCAGCCCTGGGTCACGAGGCTGTAACCTTGTTTAAACCTACCAATGAGGAAGCTCGATCTGTGCCAGCTCTACGTGCCCCGGGCCGCGAGTAATTCAAATGTGCTGCTGCGCCTCGCTTCCCTCTTAAGGGAGGGGGCGCCACCAGCCCCGGGGTGCACAGTGCGGCCGGAGGGCTCGACCCGGTGCTGCGCAGCGTCGGCGGGACGGCCTCGGGGGTGAGGGTGGCCCGGTGGCCTGTGCGGACTGTCGGGGCAGGGGGGAGGCCCTGGGCGGGCTGGGGAGTGAGGCAGGCAGGGGGTGGCCGGGGGGAGAAGGGGCGAAGTTGGGGGCCGGGTGGGGTCAAGGAGCGGGGAGTGTGGGGCCCCCGGAGCGGCGTGAAGGCGCGGCGGCCCCCTCCGCCATGGGGCGAAGGAGCGGCTCGGGGGCAGGTCGCCCCACCCCAGGTGCGGCGAAGGGATTGGCAAAACCAGGCGAGTGGATGGGGACGTAATAAACAGACTAAACTGCGCGCTAGCAGAGAGGATGGAGTTTGCGGCGCCGTTTGCCTTAGTCACATCATCTCTACAGCTTCCTCACGCCCTCCGAAAACAGCTTGTAACCGAACCCTAGCCCGTGTTTAAATTCTGCTAAACTGGGGGGGACAATTCTCACTTTGCTTACCTAAGAGGTACATTTCCTGCTTTTCTTTCCATGAATGCACCTACCCTCTGTAAAATGGACCACGTTTAATCTTTACTGTGGAGAGGCTCACTTGATTTAGCTTTCACTAAGACAGATTTAAAAAAAAAAAAAAAGACTTAATGTTTAGGTACCATGGTACTTAGTAGGTAGCCCACAGAAGCTACTTAGGTATTTCCCAAAGGGAAAAGGGACACTATGTGGGGCTGGCCCAAGCCACTTGCCCAAGCCCCCACCCCCACAGCTGCACCGGTCTGGTCCAAACCACTTGTCCCCTTGCATGTCCTGTTTATTCTTGCCAATTTATCAAGTTGGGCTTAAAAAAGGGACTGTCCTGGTCAAAATGTGACGAATGGTCACCCTAACTTACATGACATGAATAGTTTAAACCTGCAAAGTGCTTAGGGGTAATTGCAGAATTCCATGAACTCTCAACTGTGTGTTGGGCTTGGAGCTTTGTTTTACAGAGCCCCCACCACTATATTTGAGTTCTTCAGCACCATCTCATTTGATTAGAAGGGAGATGAGAATTGTAGAATTTATGAACCTTGCAGTCATTTGCAGGGCTATTGCTGAAGTTAATTGATCCAGCTCTTTGAAGTTATGGATTTCAGAGTTTGCATTTCACTGAAGTGCACTACCTGTGATTCCCTAAGTGCAATCCTTGTCAACAACTTGATCCCTGCGCTTCAAAACATGCCTGCAAAATTAAATTGTGAATCTTTTTGAACTGTCTTATTTTGCAGACACTATGGAAGAAGGAAAGGAAATGTCAGTAGGCTGGTCAAATAATATGGCTGAAGAAAAACTGGATGTTTGCAAGAACAGTGGTAGGTGGAAAGCTATTGTTTAATTATCTTCTTATAACTTTTAGCAAGGGATATACAAGCCTGAGCTAGTTTCTAAGATACAGCTACACTGCAGCTGGGAGTGCAATTTCTAGCTCAGAGAGACATACACACACTGGTTTTGACTGAGATAGTAGGCTATAAATAGCAGCGTAGGCACAGTAGTGCAGGCAGCAGCCCAGGCTAGCTGCCCAAATACATACTTAAGGTCTCGGACGGGATTGTGCTTGGGCTATGTAGCTATGGCAACGCTGATGTTTTTAGCATGCTAGCTTGATCAAAGATAGAGCATGTATGTCTACTTGAGCTGGAAATTCTTCCTCCAACTGCAGTGCACATGTACCCCACATGTTCTGATTATTTAAATCAGTGATTCTGTCACATCTGTTCCATAACCTGCTGTGTAAGCAGTCTTTTCATGGATGGCCTGCTGTTTCCCACTACTTTGATCTTAGTGATTTTCTGCAGAGCTCTGTAAGAGTTCTTTGAACCACGGGTAGCCTCTGCAACATGTGGTGGTGGCGGCATTTAGGGTCTTTCTAATCTCCCTCGTATTTCTACTCTGAAGTCTGCTCTAGCAATTTCTTCTTTCCCATATCCCAGAGTTTGTCATTCATCAGTTTAGCTTCCTTGTTAACTGATGTAAATACCTGATGCTTGACATACTTGTCATTCCCATGGGTCCTTCTAACCCCTTCAGCTGTGTCCTTGCTTCCTCTGTTCCTGGACATGTTCCCTTGGATGACTGGGGAAAGTAACACTGTTATGCAGCTCCCTCAGTCTCTCCTGTTAAAGCTCCTCTGCTGTGGATAAATAATTAGCTATCTCCCTCAATTCAGTGTGTGTTCTCTCTTGCCACACACCATCCTTGGCCAGAAGTTACTACTACTCCAATTCAGATTCCCATGCCTCTATCTTAGGCACTTACCACTTTAGCATCTAAGTCAGGGGGGACAAACTACGGCCTGCGGGCCCTATCCAGCCCACAGGACCCTTCCCTCTGGCCCACGGGGTCAAGACAGGCTTGCAGAGGTGCCAGCCCAACTCCCTGCCAGCATGGTGAGCGGGGCAGAGGCTAGCCCCTGGCCCCTCCCTTTCTGCTCCCCTTCCTCCCTGCCTCGCTCGCAGTCACAGTTCCCCCAGCACCTGGGCAGCGTGGCTGCAGCTCCGAGCGGGTGGCATGGCTATAGCACCGCCAGACCTGGTGCTCCAGGGCAGTGCGGTCAGGGGGAATTCTGGGGGTGGGAGTCGAGGAGCAGGAGGGTTTCAGGGGGGCGGTCAAGGGGCCTAGGCCCTGCTGCTAGGAGCAGGGGCAGAGCAAACCAGGGCCCCCCTCCACCTCCAGCATGCTTGGCCCCTGTCCCCAGCAGCCAAGCCCAGACAGGGAGTGAGCCCTGCCCGACTGCCAGAGAGAGCAGCCAAACGAGCAGGGGAAACGCACAGGAAAAGGACTGAGCCCCCCTTTCCCTCACCCCACAGGTAATGTCGGGCAGGGAGGGTTGGATAGGAGGTGGAGGGTCCCGGGGGGACAGTTGGGGGTGGGGAACAGGGGAGATAGGATAGGGGATGGGCGTCCCAGGGGGGTGGTCAGAGGGAAGAGAGCAGGGGTGTTTGGATAGGATGCAGGAGTCCTGGGGGGCAGTCAGGGGTGGGGAGCAGGGTGGGTTGGATGGGGGTTGGAGTTCCAGGGGGCTGGGGTGGGGGGCCAGGCCACGCCTCACTGTTTGGGGAGGCATAGCCTCCCCCAGCCTTCCCTACCCAGCCCTCCATACAATTTCTGTACCTGATGTGGCCCTAGGGCCAAAAAATTTGCCCACCCCTGGTCTAAGTGCTAGATTCACAAAAGCACTTAGCTGCCTAGCTACCACTTTTGCACCTAAATCCCAGAATCGGGCCCCAGTGGGATTCACAGAACCCCTTCTCAGCTGCCACCCAACCCTTTAGGTGCTTCCCCCCACCCCATCCCTCCAGTAAAAGTTCCCTAAGAGTCTGTTTTTCTGCCTCTCAGCAAGTGCACTGCAACCTCACTCCAGGCAACCAGATGCTTAAGCCCCAATTCAATGTACTAATCTGGAGGAAGATAGGTGTTCTTTTGCCTAACTCACCTGCGGGGCCGAATCCAGTGAACAGGCTCAGAGCTTGCCTACTAGATTATGCCCCCATGGATGAGTTCACACAAAATGGAGTGGAGGAAGATCTCCCTTGTAACTCTTAGCCCAGTGGTTAGGAGGTGGGAGACCCACAGTTCAAGTCATTCCCTCCACCTGAGGGAGGATAGGGGATTTGAAAAGGATCTGCCTCCTCTCAGGTGAGTGTCCTAAACCTAGGTTATAGAACGGGTCGGCAACCTATGGCACGTGTTCCAAAGACAGCACGCCAGCCGATTTTTAATGGCATGCTGCTGCCTGCCAGGCCCCAGTCGCTGGCCCACTCAGCCCGCTGCCGAACCCAGGCTGGGACCCGGCAGGCAGCAGCCTGCCATTAAAAATCCTGCCCGCTGTGGCCCGCTCTTCTCCACCTCCCCCTCCCCCCAGCGGGGGCAGGGTGAAGAAGCTTGGTCCTGCTGGCTGCTGCTGCAGGGCAGGCAAGCTTCCCTCTCCCCTGCCTCTTCCCCCAGGGTGCTGGGTTCCTGCCCCTCCTCCTCTCCCTCCCTGCTGCTGATCAGCTGATGGCCCTTGCGAGGGAGGGGGAAGGGGGAGAAGCGGAGCTGCAGCGAGCTGCTCCGGGGAGGAGGCAGAGAAGAGGTGGGGAAGGGGGGTGGAATCGGCATATCCCCTCCAGCCCCCTGCCGTGAGCCGCTCTGGGCAGGGGGCTGGGAGCACCCCCACGACCCTAGCCCACACTCCCAGCCCCCTGCCCTGCACCCCCACACACACTCCCAGCCCCCTGCCCTGACCCCTGCACCCCCCCATGACCCCATGCCCTGACTCCAGCACCCCCACACATACCCAGCCCCCATGCCCTGACTCCTGCACCCCCCACATGCCCTCTGCCCTGACTCCTGCACCCTCCTCACACACCCGCAGCCCTCTTCCCTGACTCTTGCACCCCCCACATTCTCACCCCTACCCTGAGCACCAAAAGGGAGCTCTTGCATCTCCCCCCCACATTCCCACCTGCACCCCTCGCACCAAATGGGAGCTGCCCAGGTAAGCACTCCACACCCAAACCTCCTGCCCCAACCCTGAGCCCCCTCCCTCATTCTGGCTCCTGGCCAAACCCTGCACCCTTACCCCCAGCCTGCTCCTTCACCCCCAGCCCTGTGCTCAGTGCACTCCCACCCTCAGCTCAGTGCAGAGAGAGAGGAAGAGAATGGGCTAGAACCAGGGAGAAGGTAGGTACCCACTCTATGTGGGCAGGGCTGGGATCCCAGACCGGCAGCGGTCTGAGAGGGGCCGGCAGCCGGGACCCTGGCTGGTAGAAGCCAGCGGATGGAACCCCAGACCGGCAGCGGGTCCCGGCCGCAGGCCCGCTCAGCCTGCTGCCGGCCTAGGTGAATGGAACCCCAGGCTGGCAGCGGGCTGAGCTGGCCGGCGGCGTAAGATCAGCATTTTAATTTAATTTTAAATGAAGCTTCTTAAACATTTTGAAAGCCTTGTTTACTTTACATATGACAATAGTTTAGTTAATAATATATAGACTTATAGAGAGAGACACCTTCTAAAAAACGTTAAAATGTATTACTGTCATGCGAAACCTTAAATTAAAGTGAATAAATGAAGACTCGGCACATCACTTCTGAAAGGTTGCCGACACCTGTTATAGAATATTCTGTTGAGGAGCTCCCTCAGTCTCTCCTGTTGAAGCTCCTCTGGAGAAATAATCAACTATCTTCCTCCATTCATTGTATAGGAAGCCTGAGCAGTGATTTTTCTAGGTGCCTAAAAGTTATGACACTCAGCGTTACTATGTCTAAGTGCCACCATATTCTAAGTGCCTCAACTCTTGACATCTCTTCTGAATGTTTGACACCCACCCTGCCACTTGAAGCCCACATCCCTAATTTCAGATCTCAAAACTGACACCCTCCACTAAGAACTTTCTCTTTGCCTGGAATCTACTCTGTCCCCTCCTTATCCTCTCCTTTTCTTCTGTATCTCAGTTAGATCTCCCTTCTGCTGCCTTTCAGTTCCAGGCAGGCCTTTTCATTCCCTTATTTTCACCTAACTACTGTCTTCTCACTTGTTCTGTGCCTTATTCAAACAAGTCCTCTTATACTTCTCTTGCTGGGAGGGTGGAATCTGTCCTAGCTTTCCTAGTTACTACTGTATCTCGTTTCCCCTCATCTCATTTGCCTTTTAAACATCTGACAACTGGTTTACATATTACCCTTTTATTTCTCTTCCATCTCTGACCCCTTCCAGTCTGGTGCTTTCCCACTTCATCAAAACTGTTCTGCTTAAAATAGCTTTCTCACTTTCTTGCATCTTTCTGCTGCCTCTAAACTCAATAACATCCTCTCTTCAACGGCAAATTTCTTCTAGGGTAAAATTTAGTAGTTTATTTTAATTGTTTCAGTTGAGTGCAATGCAAAAGTAATGGATGATAAAGAAACCACCCTTAATCTGAATATTTTCTGACAGTCATCTTGACATCTGTTCCATTTCAGTGTTAAAAGTAGTCTTGGTCACTTTACCCAAGGGCTCTCAATAACATTTTTGCTTTTACAACCTTTTCCTGATTTTAAATGTTTCTCTCCCCCTTGCTGTGTCCCACAAACAGAAACTTTCTACTGAAACAAGAGCATTGGTTTCAAAAGGGCTGACTTTCAAAAATTAAGGAAATTAGTTAGGGAAGTGGATTGGACTGAAGAATTTATGGGTTTAAAGGTAGAGGAGGCCTGGGATTATTTTAAATTAAAGCTGCAGAAGCTATCGGAAGCCTGCATCCCAAGAAAGGGGAAAAAATTCATAGGCAGGAGTTGTAGACCAAGCTGGATGAGCAAGCATCTTAGAGAGGTAATTAAGAAAAAGCAGAAAGCATATAGGGAGTGGAAGAAGGGAGGGATCAGTAAGGAAAGCTACCTTATTGAGGTTAGAATATGTAGGGATAAAGTGAGACAGGCTAAAAGTCAAGTAGAGTTGGACCTTGCAAAGGGAATTAAAACCAATAGTAAAAGGTTCTATAGTCATATAAATAGGAAGAAAACAAAGAAAGAAGAAGTGGGACGCTAAAAACTGAGGATGGAGTGGAGGTCAAGGATAATCTAGGCATGGCCCAATATCTAAACAAATACTTTGCCTCAGTCTTTAATAAGACTAAAGAGGATCTTAGGGATAATGGTAGCATGATAAATGGGAATGAGGATATGGAGGTAGACATCACCATATCTGAGGTAGAAGCGAAACTCAAACAGCTTAATGGGACTAAATCGGGGGCCCAGATAATCTTCATCCAAGAATATTAAAAGAATTGGCACAAGAAATTGCAAGCGCATTAGCAAGAATTTTTAATGAATCTGTAAACTCCGGGGTTGTACCGTATGATTGGAGAATTGCTAACATAGTTCCTATTTTTAAGAAAGGGAAAAAAAGTGATCCAAGTAATTATAGGCCTGTTAGTTTGACATCTGTAGTATGCAAGGTCTTGGAAAAAATTTTGAAGGAGAAGGTAGTTAAGGACATTGAAGTCAATGGTAAATGGGACAAAATACAACATGGTTTTACAAAAGGTAGATCGTGCCAAACCAACCTGATCTCCTTCTTTGAGAGAGTAACAGATCTTTTAGATAAAGGAAACGCAGTGGATCTAATTTACTTAGATTTTAGTAAGGCGTTTGATACTGTGCCACATGGGGAATTATTAGTTAAATTGGATAAGATGAGCATCAATAGGAAAATTGAAAGGTGGATAGGGAATTGGTTAAAGGGGAGACTACAACGGGTCCTACTGAAAGGTGAACTGTCAAGTTGGAGGGAGGTTACCAGTGGAGTTCCTCAAGGATCAGTTTTGGGACCAATCTTATTTAATCTTTTTATTACTGACCTGGGCACAAAAAGTGGGAGTGTGCTAATAAAGTTTGCAGATGATACAAAGCTGGGAGGTATTGCTAATTTAGAGAAGGACAGGGATACCCTACAGGAGGATCTGGATGACTTGTAAACTGGAGTAATAGGAATAGGATGAAATTTAATAGTGAGAAGTGTAAGGTCATGCATTTAGGGATTAATAACAAGAAATTTAGTTATAAGCTAGGGACACATCAACTAGAAGTAACGGAGGAGGAAAAGGACCTTGGAATATTGGTTGATCATAGGATGACTATGAGCTGCCAATGTGATATGGCTGTGAAAAAGCTAATGTCATCTTGGGATGCATCAGGAGAGGTATTTCCAGTAGGGATAAGGAGGTTTTAGTACCGTTATATAAGGCACTGGTGAGACCTCACCTGGAATACTGTGTGCAGTTCTGGTCTCCCATGTTTAAGAAGGATGAATTCAAACTGGAACAGGTACAGAGAAGGGCTACTGGGATGATCCGAGGAATGGAAAACTTGTCTTATGAAAGGAGACTCAGGGAGCTTGGCTTGTTTAGCCTAACTAAAAGAAGGTTGAGGGGAGATATGATTGCTCTCTATAAATATATCAGAGGGGTAAATATCAGAGAGGGAGAGGAATTATTTAAACTAGTACCAATGTGGACACAAGAACAAATGGATATAAACTGGCCACTAGGAAATTTAGATTAGAAATTAGACGAAGGTTTCTAACCATCAGAGGAGTGAAGTTTTGGAATAGCCTTCCGAGGGAAGTAGTGGGGCAAAAGATCTATCTTGCTTTAAGATTAAACTCGATAAGTTTATGGAGGAGATGGTATGATGGGATAACATGGTTTTGGTAATTAAATGTTCATGGTAAAAGGCCCAATGGCCTGTGATGGGTTTTTAGATGGGGTAAGATCCAAGTTACCCGGGAAAGAATTTTCTGTAGTATCTGGCTGATGAATCTTGCCCATATGCTCAGGGTTTAGCTGATCGCCATATTTGGGGTCGGGAAGGAATTTTCCTCCAGGGTAGATTGGAAGGCCCTGGAGGTTTTTCGCCTTCCTCTGTAGCATGGGGCACGGGTCACTTGCTGGAGGATTCTCTGCTCCTTGAGGTCTTCAAACTACAATTTGAGGACTTCAATAGCACAGATATAGGTGTGAGATCTTTTTTAGGAGTGGTGGGTGAAATTCTGTGGCCTGCATTGTGCAGGAGGTCAGACTAGATGATCATAATGGTCCCTTCTGGCCTAAATATCTATGAATCTATGAATTGGCTATGTACAAAGTGCTATCAAATGCACACTAAAACTAGGATATTTTTCTAATCTTTCAGTTTTAATAATGTTAAGTGTTACTTGAAATAATTAAACATGTTCAGAAAGATATGTGGTTATTTTTAATTATCTGACCTAATAACTTGAACTATTGTCGTAGTTAATTTTAAAGACATCTTGGCAATGTCTTTGGAATAACTGCAAATGGGGTGTGAACTTAATGAAGATCAAGTAACTACTTAAAACAAAATTAGAAGTAACTCTAAAGGTTAAATTTGTTAAGGCTAATGCCAACTGGCAGTGTTGTGAGAAATATACTGCAATGCAAATTGTGTAAATCCTTGTAACTACAGCGATAGTCACAATTAATGAGATCATTATACTTTCAGACTTTCCCCTTCTAACTGATGAAAAATTTGATTTTGACCTTTCTCTGTCTCCTGCAAGGTAAGCTAAGTGTTTAAGGGCAAGTACATATGTAAAGTTCAAAGGATGTTACAATATCTTGACTGTCTTGTCCGTCTTACAGTGGAAATGAAGATGAAGTTTTTGTTGGACCTCTTGGGCACAAAGAAAAATGTGTTGCTGTCAGTATTGAAGCAATTAAAGGTGCTGAAGAAAAGATCTCTCAGACCCCTGATGATAAGCTGATGTGGAGTCCTCTTACTGGAGAGAAATTTGTGGAAATCTTTAAAGAAGCTCACTTGTTAGCACTGCAGCTAGAAAGCGGCAACAAAAATGAACAGAACAAAGTCACCCAATCAGAAGGGCCAAAACCCAAGGTTATAGAAAAATTTGTGCAAGCATCCAAGTCAAAACTAAAAATCTTTCAAAAAGGAAACACAGAGAAAAGCCCCAGGGCTATTAAAAGGGAGACATACTGTGTGTGGGACAGCCCAATTTCTCAACTGCCACCTTCCTTTCAGAAGCGTTCAGATTTACCTGTGACAGCAGTTGACAAAACTCCTCCAAACACATCTAGTCCTATTAAAATCCATAAATTTCCTAAAATATCTGTTTCACCTCTAGCCCAAGAACAGCAAAGTGATGAAAAAAATAAAAAGGCAATAAGCAAATTGCACACAAAGGCTTCATCTGCTCTTGGAAAAAGCCGTCAACTGACAGTAGAAAAGGTAAAGAATTTTCTTCTGGATAGCTTAATACTCAATAAAAAAACATGGTTGTCTTGAGATAAGGGACTGTTTAAATCTTGTGCAAGCTTTTGTTTAACAACTTTCTTTTTTAATGCATCTCTCCATTGTTTGAGAGAACCTCAAATAGGAAACTGACTTTACACAAAGAGCTGACAAATGCACAAGGTAAACTGAAAGCATATTTTAACTTGTTATACTAATGCTAGTGGAGTAGTAGTTATTAAAGTAGTGGCTAGAACTGCAGAAAGAACTTGTTTTGTTTTTTAATTGACTGAATTTAAGTTTTTACACTTATTAATACTTGATGTTCCTGACTTCTATGTAAATATTTAATACTTATTTTATCATCCCTCTGGTAAAATTATTGCTGTCTTTTGGTGATTTAGATGCCAACAGGCTCTTTACTTATATTAAGCTCTCTTCAAAATTGACAGTAGTAGGCACAGCTCTGGAGATACAGCAGTAATAACCCTTTATAGTCTTGGTACACCATCCTATCTAGAGCATGATTAGCCAACTATGTAAGGAGGACCCAGCTATGCGGCAGTACACTGAAGAACTGCCCAGATATGTTAGGGGAAGCGGTAGCTGTGTTAATCATCTCTCGTGTACATAAGCCCTGTTCAGGTTGGTTTTTTCTCTCCTGTCCTTCTGTTCCTTCCCCTTCGTAGCTAAGGCTATGCAACTAGCAAGATGCTCCTTCTCTCTGTGTGCACTACTGAGGAGGAGGATGTTGGCTCCTTACTCCTAAGAATGAGGGTGAGGAAATTGTGCCATAGGCAAAGGGGCAAGGGAGCTTCTGTAGTCTGCTCTTTTCCCCTTTGTCTCCAATCCCATAGCTTTGATAGTGTTGCTGGTCATGTGGCCCTCTCAGATGCTAACTGGAATAGATTCGTGAGCTGTGCAGTCTAAAACTTTCATGTCTAGCTGTTGGTGTCATCCAGGGAAGAATCTCCTTTGGGCTATTGGAAAGAAGCGTTCGTGTGTACATTACATTTTGCCTACAAATGTGGGACATTACCTATTTTAAGAAAAGGGAACAACCACTGCAGTGTCTAGGGATGAACATGGGCTGAAAGAATCACATAGGGACTAACTTGCTGCAGAGGTGATCGCCTTATGTTGATTTAAAGCCAATTTTAATAAATGGGAACATAGTCTATGCTGTATTTAACAACTTTAAAGTCTAACAGAGTCTAAATAAATTGAGAACTTGGAATTTTTAATGTCTAGCAATTCTCATACTTGGTAGATGCAATATCCTTTTCTGTTGGCTGGTATAAAAAATATGGATTACTGAATAAATCAGCTCCTGCACGATCATCAGAGCTGTTGAAATTGTAATAGCTTTCCAATAAATTTAAAATTTTAATCTTGCAGCCAAAACCAGGGAAAAAACATGTGAACAGCATGGGGTCATCTGAAGATCTACTCTCTGACAAATCCAGTGTTGCTTCAGATGTATGTGACTCATCATTCAGTGGCAGCTCATCATTACAAGACAAGCGAGTTCTTCCTTCTCAAAGCAAGGTAATTACAAGTGTTAATACAACTGCAGAGTGAATATGTTCTTAGAATACTGGTGACTTCTCCATTTTTACATATGTAAGAGACAAACCTAGTTTTCTGACTTAATGCCATAGTCTTCTCTTTATAATAAATTCAAGGTAAAGTTTCTATTCTACAATTGCAATTCTTGGGTGGCTAAGTTATACATCAAGTGTTTTCCCCATATTTTTAACACACAATTGTTCTTAGTGCATCAGCATATAGTTAGATATTATACTACATTTCATGTTAACACGTAATATTAAGGGGCAGGGAAATGCAGATAATAGGCCTCATAGGAGGTTTGTGGATTAAAGTCTTTACTCTTCATGGTCACGTATTGTGCTACTTGGAAAGACTGTCATTTTTCTAGCATAGAAGCAGAATAGCAGTGACTCTTGCTACATCAGAAGCCAAATTCTAGGAACCATAGCACTACAATTTAAGTACTCATGTCTAAAAGAATGTGACTAACCTGTAGAATATAGTTTGTCTCAATTTTGTTAACTTTTGTACAACATTGCAATCCACTTAATATTGCCTATGCTGTTTCCTCTCCCCTCCACCCTCCCAGAGGTGCCTGATCTCTTGGCAGTGGATACACTTAAATGAAATATTGGCCACTCTCTCCAGATCTGATGCTAATGGAACAGTCTTAGTTATAATAGTCAAACTCACACAATCACTTTCCTAAAGAAAAGAATTGTAATAACATGGGATATTGCATGTGAGATGGGGAAAGATGCCTAGCATTTCAAAAATAGCACTCCAGTGTATTGTCCCATTAATCTTCATTTCTATATACTTTGAATCCATTATAAGGATATACTTGAGCTGGGGGCGGGGAGGGAAGGGGGAACACCATTGGGCTAACAATCAATTTCTGAGACCTATCCTATTAGGTACCATACAAATGTATAATTACATTTTTACTTTATTTTTTGCTTCCCAGCAGTCTGCTTTTTACTTAACTTAAGCATTTTAAAACAGGATTTAGAACTTTTCCCTGGGACAAATGAACCCAGAGAATGGTGATGCATAATGATGTAGAAATCTAACAAATGAAAATGTTGTTGGGCTTGCTTAATGTCTTTTGGACAGTTAAATAAATTAGACTTTTTTTATTCACAGTTTGGGTTAAGGAAGACCCAGTTAAAACCTCCTAGTGTTGCTAATGGTCCTCTAAGAAAGAACACCTCATCTTCATCGTCATCCTCCATTTCCAGCATGAACTCCAGTTTGAATTCAAGTTTGTCCGTCTCTCCCATAGGGGGAAATGGTAATAACTAGCATAGAGATGCAGTATGCAAATCAGTTTAAACTTAAAATAAGTAATGGGTTTTTTTTGACCTGCAGGTTCCAAAATGTGTTTGGTGCTGTCTATATTTCTTGCCGCTTCAGAATGCTAGGCTGTGTTTGGGGTGGAGTTTGGAGTGTTGTAGCTGTATTGTTCGCAGGATATGAAAGGCAAGGTAGGTGAGCTAATATCTTTCATTGGACCAAGAAGGTACAAGCTTTGAAGCTACATAGAGTTCTGCGTACCTTCCACCAATAGAAGTTGGTCCAATAAAAGATATGATCTCAGCCCCTCGTCTCTTTGGTGTTGAGAACAGGTGAATAAAACTTCATGTAGGCTGAAAGCTTGGTAGTTAGTTCAAGTTCTTGACTTCTAGCACTTGAATTAAACCAGACTTTAGAATCAATGAGGCCAATATCTACAAACTAGGAACTGACACACTTACATGGTATGCTTCTCGGTGATGACTTAATTTTTATTTTTTACATAGTCCATAATGGTTCTTTTCTGGTTAGAATTATGTCTAGCCACAGGAACCTCTAAATGCCACAATGTAACGTGATTTAGAGAACAAACAACATTATGAAGTAGAGAAGAGGGAGGAAGTCAAAAAGTATGTTACTCAAGCCCTGGTTTAGTCCTCCAAAGCCCCATATAGTAGTAATTTACTCGGCAAACTTAAACAGTAATATCTCAAAGGTTGTGGTTAACACAAAAGCAGGGAGTAATGCAATTGTCAAAGCCTTATCAGGACTTATTAGAAACAACAGTGGAATATAATAGCTTACAGTTTCTTGATCCATTGTAAAACAAGACTGAAGCACACACCTGTAACATTATTTCATATTTAAACATTTGCCTATCATGAAGATAGAAGCAGTCATTGTTCTACCTGAAGAGTGTCAAGACTTGGAAGCCTTTCTAAGCTTCCTGTTTTAAAGTTATGTATTAGCTTTTTACACTAAACAAACACGCACCATGTCTCTGTTCTCAGTCCCTGTAGCTGTGCACTCTGTTTTTAATACCTGTCGGCTGGCTGTATTTCCTGTTAAAACTTAATGACAGAACCCTAGAAATCACACTGCTACCCAACTTACATCTGGAGCAGAGGTTCCCAAACTTTTCTTATTGCATACCCCCTTCCAGATCTCCCAACTGCCTGTGTACCACTACCCTTCTCATCACTGATACTTTGTGTGTTCTTAACACTACCTGTCTTTAGCCATCTGTCCATATTTCACTGTTATGCACAGATATAGTGTGACGTGTATAACCAAAAATAAAACCCTGACTAAGTTCTGAGCTCAGTTAGACTGGACAGTTGCTGACCAACTGAACCCGCACTGTATGGTGATTGGAGGTCTCTCTGTATCTGTGTTCTCCTTGGTACATCTTGAAGTAAATTAACTACTGGATTTTATATAACAAATTCCCACAGAGTTTTAAAGCTTTGTCTAAGTAGCCTATTATGAAAATGCAGTAAATAAAATCCACCCACAATTTCTCCCATGTACCCTCCACCCTGAGATGTCTCACATACCCCAGACGTATGCATACCACAGTTAGGAACCCCCGGTATAAGGAAAAATGACTACTTAATACCAGTAACTTGCATATACTGTTATCTTCTCTAGTAATCCAAGATGGTAATAAAATGCCCTGTACCTTTAGCGGGCAATTATTTTAGAATTGTGACCCATCTTATTTGTAGCCCATGTGGTGATTTTTTTAAATTTTTTTTTTTGAGGGGGTGAGGAAGAGGGACACATTTTTTTTTAATAAAACTGAATTAATGAGTAAAGTTGCAGGATATAATCAGATCTATATCAAGCATAAAATTTGACCTCTATAAAGAGATTGAGTCAGTGTTTAATGAGCAACTGATATCTTTAAAATGTATCCAAAAGCAGACTTGCAGAAGTATATGGATAATGTATGTGGCTAAACTACGTATTTATTCCAAACAAAATGAGTGCTTGCTCTCAATTGCTCATAGCATAAGAGTGGGAGAGGAAAACATGCTCCTAATTTCTTGTGAACTAAGAGGCTCCCTGTTTCAGGAAGTGAAGAGAAAGGCACCTGGAGGAGATGAAAGAATTTTGGCATGCATGATTGGGGAAACACTCCAAGTGTAGTGGCCTGCATGAGTAAGCACCGAAGTCTTTGAGGAAAGTGAAGTGTGTTGGGGGGAATAATCAGGTCCAAAGAGAATGTTAAGTGACCACAGATGAACTGTAGGCAGGGAGAAGAACTGTGTAGAGCGTTGAAAGGGAGAACAAAACTAAACTCTAGCCCAGTCAACAACATAACATATAGATAAGGAAGTCGCTATTGGGAAGTATAATGCAAGACTCTGCTATTGGAGGACACAGTTTCCATGCTTCAGTGATTCAGAACCTTAATATCTTGTTTTTTAGAGATTGTTTATTCTGTTGGCTGTGGAATCCATGTGACCCTTACGCTATGTCTAGGCAACCTATTCAATAATACACTTCCTTTTTGGAGTCAAGAAAATACTGTTCTAAGTTGTAGCTTGCTTTTTTGCCCATAGGCTAAAACACATCCACACTACTTATACTTACCCAGTGTTAAAGGAGCACTTAGCTGAAAATTTAACTTTTGTAAAAACTTGTCTTACATAATGTAAGCTTAATAAGTTTAATAAAACTTTAATTCAATGGGAAAGTTTAGTAGCACATGTCTTGGAAATACCCCGGACCCTCGCTAGAACGCGTGTCTATATAGCACAAATTTGCATATAACACAGTCGTAGCCATGGATCCCAAATTTAATTACTTTAATTGCAATTCATTTTAACGCGGTCCCCATGTTAACGCAGTACCATGCATGGATCCCAAATACCGCGTTCTAGCAAGGGTCCGGTGTATTTAATGCGAATGACTAGAAACTGTTTAGCAAATCCAATTAGTCTAATCGAAAAACTATGATTTTAAGTGAATAAATAGAATATTGAAACTTGTCATTTAAAAAAAAGTTAACTTTTAAATACTCTTAACTAGCATAGGGAAGGAGACTTCATTGACTGTCCCTTAAAATATGTATTTCAGGTAGCTGGGCCAACTACATTGAAAATACAAGTTATGCTTACATATACCTATAAAGAAGGCATATTTAAGTGCTTCTTAAAATACCTTACTCTTGTTTCATTTGAACTGGAAGCTGATATGCTGAATCGTGTCAAGGAGGCTTTTCTGAAGCATCAAAGACAAATAACCACCCGTAGAGTTTTCCTATAGTTTTCAGACTTCTAGTGGCTAAAAAGTGGAAAAAAATTTAAACCTTTAAATTGTAACAACTACAAAGTTCAGATGCTTGAACACCTATCACAAATCATTGCATAATGTTTTCATATCTTCAGCTGCACTTGAGTAAACTTACTCTCTTGTAATTTAGTTAAATGTACCTTGTAACCAGTTGAGGGAAAAAACAACGAGCAATTCAGAAGTATAAATATGAGCTTTCTATCTTTCAGGTAAATCAAGTCTCTCTTCAAAAATTTCTGTGAGCAGCTCCAAACTCTCATCTAGCACAAAAAGACTGGCTATGGTTAGACCTATCAGAATGTCATCTCTGCAGACTGTCCATTCTGATGTGTCCTGCAAGCAAACAAGATCAGTTAGTACTCCCAAAATATCTACTGCTGGGAATTTAGCCAAGTCTTCAGCTTCTGTGACAGGATCCCAAACTCTAGCCAGTGGAATTCAGAGACTGAGCTCAGTCCCTAATCTGCAGAAAATATCTCAGCAGAACAAAGATGGAAGTGCAGCAAAAGGAAACACATGCCCAAAAGACAATGCTAAAATTATACTCACACCTACAAATCAGATTAAGGTCCCTAAGAGATGTGGAGGTAAGCATACATTTTTGGAAGGCTGTTTTTTGTGTTAACTTGGCTTTTAATTTTAACATTTCTTTCAATGTTCCTCACACTATTTGCTAATTGAGAGTGAAATTTGTCTTTATTTGTATATTGTTCCAAAGCTGTTGGGATGGAATGAATCATATGACTTGTACGTAAGATGTTATAGTTGAAAACAAAACTAATATAGATAACAAATAAGTAATAACGTAGAGTAATATTTTTCTTTTCCCTTAGGTTCATCATCAGAAAATACAGCACCAAAAATAATGGAGCCAATCAGATTACTATCTTGTGGCACATTTGGAAGGTAACTTTTTGTAATTAGAATTTAACAGGTCACTTGCATGTTTTCTTAACTATACCTACCTTTGAGAATGTTGTACCAAGCAACTATGTAACCTGAATTTTAAAAGTGCAGTTCTAATTACTTTGAAAACTAACATTGTGAGGTATCTCTACCCTCCTGGTGACTTCCAGATTACTCTGCCCTTCCACAAGTAAAAATGTTAACTCACCCTGGGATATGAAAGTCAGTTTGGCTCTCTTGGGACTGGGTAACATAAATACCTAACTAGAATTCATTGACCATTCTGATGTGCAAGGGAACAGAATCGGCTCACACATAACAGAGATACTTCTGCAGTGCTAATGAGTGGGGGGGAGGGGGTGTGTGTGTGTGGTGGTTTTTTTTTTTTTTTTTTTTTAGTCAGCTCTGAATATACTCAGGAAGCAAATCTAATGAGGGCTGTTTTCACATAATACCTGTTCACTGTAGAAGTGCACTTCAAGATTCTGTTCCATTGAGTGCACTGCTTCCTCTTCTGTCTCAAATTTAATCTCAAATTTTCAAAATGATTTGAAACATCTGTTAACTGAACTTTAACTATGAGGATGTGACCAGTTCCAGCATAATACAGCAATCACTTTTAATGTTCAGGTTTAGTTATCCTAACACTTCCGTATCTGTTTGTATTCTTAAGCCTGCCTTATGTTGTTTATTTCTGTTGTCTGAGTAGTATTCAGAATGAAGTTGTAAGAAGTTTCTAGAAGCTTTCAGTTAAATGTATGCTGCTTGTTTTCTTCTAGTGGTGTTGCTGTTTGCACTCCTGTCAGATCTTCAGAAGATGGGGCCTCGCAGAACTCTTGTCTTAGTTCCAGGTCCATTTTAATTACTCCAGCCAGTATAAAACGTTCTGCTGTGCCTACACCTGCCAGTCGTATCTCAGGAATTCCAACAATAACTCCTAAAACTTTGCCAAGATCTGTCTCCTCTCCACATTTTATGTCTGTTCGTCAAGTCTCCAGTGTGTCCACCAAAAAGACTCTTGCAGCTTGGTAAGATACCGTGGGTGTAACATAGCTCTATTGAAATCTATTAAAACTCCTATTGTCTTCAATGGGGGAAAGATTTTGTCCCAGATGTTCAGACACTGTACACTAGCATGTAAGTGATTTAATCTACTGTTGAGTAGAAGCATGCCCAGGTAACTAGCAAAATAATACAGCTATACTTGTTAGTTCTTTCCAACATAATTCTCTAACATGGTTTGGTTTGCCTAAATCCGTAAACCAAGGGATAACGTTAGACTCTCTTGTAAAAATAGTGAAGATAAGCACATCTTATTCCATCACTTGACCACATCTTCAAACTACCTGTGAATCAACTTGAATTATGTGCATCATAGAACTTGTATTTGAGGAATTTGCTGCTTTCAGCCAGCTTACTTGATGTACTGCAGAAGTAACTTTGTGTTCCAACACAATGACACTTCCAGCTACGTGAAAGATAATGGAGGACCTAAATGTGGCAATACTTTCTAGATGAGGAAAGCAAGCCGGCAGTTAAGTCAAATGATCTACTTTTAAGTTCTGTTTAAGTTACACTTTAAGGTATTGACCAATCTTATGCTGTCACCATTATAAAATCTGGCATCCTAAGAGAGGCCAAGGATTGAATTAAGACTGAACTGTTCTTGCTCCATGAGGTGGTCTTTCCATGCCATAGTTGAGACAGTGGCTAGGTACAAGGGGAATCTGGGCAGCACCATCACAATTCTGTACCTGTTCTGTGGAGGGGATGCAGTCTTTTCCATAGCTGTCAACCCAAAATCTTTTCACAAGCTCTAAATATATACACAGCTTAAACTAATATTTATGGCAGTCTCATATGGTGCTGATTCCCCAGAATAAAATTTAACTAACCTTATATTTCATGTTGTGCTCAGATAAAACCTTTTGTTCCAGGGTAAGCCAAGCATTATCATGCCTGTCTCATATCTCTCAAATGTTCAGTTACTTCCTCAAACTACAAGTCCAAAATGCTCTTTCTTCCCAAACCCCTCTCCTTTCCCCACTCTACTAGCCCACTGATTGTTAAGCTTGCAACTTTGGAATCCTCCAGTTCGTCTCTGTACTTTTTCCCTTCACCAGGGAGCGGACTGAACCAATTCAGTGACATGCAGTACCGGCACTTCTCTGGTACAGCAATCTCTGCGTAAGCTTCCAGAAACTTAAGTTAAAATTTTCAAATGTGGTATCCCAAGATTATCCACCAAATATGGATTGTCCATTTTGCTTGTACACTGTAGGCAACTTTGACTTGTCTATTTAAATTGTAATTCCTCAGGGCAGAGACAGTGTCTTTATGTTCTGTGGGATGCCTAGCATGCTTTTAGATAATGAATAAATAAGATGTTATTTTCAGACTGAGGGTACTCACAAAATAGAGAAAAATAAAGTTATCAAATGGCGCTTTAGCATTTGTAGGGCAGCTAAATGACATGAACGTTACCTTGTTTATACTTTAATAGTAATGCTTAATGAATACCTCTTAAATACTTGCCAAATTACTTTCCCCCAGTTCTAAACAGGCAAAGGACACCAAGACACAAGTGTCATCATTTGAAGATGATGACTTATCTCCTCCACCTATGATACCTCTTACACTTGTCTTTTCACCAGAAAAGACTACAGAAATAGCACAGAATGAAATACAAGAAGAGACTGAAATACAAAAACAGCCAGCTGAAGGAGCACAAACTAAAGAGGTAGGTAAACTGAATCCATTTTTCCCTCTTGTAAAAGCTGCCATTGAGTGAACTGCATGAAAATGTGTGCTGTCTACTAACTAAAAACTTGCTCAGATTTTGAAGTGAACTAGATTAGGCATACATGTGCCCTCTAGTGTTTGCTTATCATACCACTGAACAACATTTCTTCATTGGGATAAATGTTCCTGGAAATCGAATTTCAGTCACCTGCACAAATAATTGCAGGTCAGATTTTAGATTTGCACTCCCAGTTATCTACACTGGAAAGTCCTTGTGTATTTATGAATCCAATCATGAAACACAATACCATGTTGGGTAATTCAATACTGTCCAAAAACAGATATATTACAAAACTGCGATTAGAATGTCTGTCTGTAGAAAACTGTTTAAACCATAGTGTTAAAAGAAAAAAAAAGTCTAAATTCCTATTTGCTGGAATAGCAACTTGCTTGCAGATATCAGGCATAGACCAAACTAACAAATTACTCATTGTTAGTTCAACTGTAGTTATTTTCTCTGGTATTCTGTTTACTTAATGCTGGAAGCTTGCTGTGGATTTGTTTGGTGTATGTAAATACTGAATCACAATCAAATTGGATAGAGGGGTGATTAAAGCTAGTAATCTTATAGAACTGTTTCTTTGTCAAAATGTTGTCAGATCACAATTGTAGGTACAAGGTTAAAACTGAATTTAAAAACTGAAATATGAAACCTGAGAATATTTTTCAAATATGATTTAGCACTTACATAATACTTTACCCCCTCTGCTCTGCACACTAATCCTCCTCTCATCCACCAAACTATGCTGCCTTTAGGATGGTCTACATATAACCTACAAACCTAAGAATGATGGTTGCTTTTTGTGGCTTTTCCCTATGAGTCAATAACTGATTTTTCTTCATTATTCTGAAGGGAGTATAATAAACAGAGGAAAATTAACTATTTACCATTTCTAGGTCTTGCTGGTAGATATTGGAATAGATGAAACTCCCATTGCTGCTTTGGAATGTGAAAGTAGACCTCTCATTGACCTTTCTAATACTCCAGAAGTGAATAAAGTTATTCCACTAAAACCTAGTGTGGTAGGACAGGTAAGGTATCTGAATCATTTGTTTCCATAAATGCATAAAAATTATGCAAAAAATAATTGTTTGGTTGTATGCATTTGTATGTAGAATAGTTATTTCTCCCCTGTAACAATGTATTGTATACGAATTATGCTTGGCACTAGTACCTTATATTCAACACTCTTATTTAAGCTGAATCCAATTTATGGATTCTTCTTGCAGTCTCTTCCCTTTCGATCTCTAGGGTAAGTGAACATTTTGTTGTAAAACAGAGCTATGAATGAGCATCAGTTCATGAGTCAAGAATTTTAATTATTCAGCTTTGCATGGCCCACTCTTGCTGTGCTGCTTTTTGAAAGTCAAAAAACTAGCTGCATCATTTATTATTGTAGAAACACAGCTCTGTGCAGGCTCACTAAATTTCTCTTAGTAGCAGTGGCATGTCATGACACTTTTTTTAGTACATTTTGTGGGGTTGTACAAGAGACTGGATAGACTCATCCCATGGACACAGCCAGTCAGGAAGTTCTATTCAGAGCTTTCATATTCTTGTAGAAATTAATTCTGAGGCGTGCACTGCACACGTAAATGGCACACCACTGCTTACTAGTCCTGAACACCAATAACCTGGAGGCTAGAATATGTTCCTGCTACTCTTCTCTGCTGTGAGACAATGTCTGTCAAACCCCTAACTGCAGCATTGGTTTTCAGCACTACACCAGTTCAGACCAGTTTGGCATGTAGAGGTTTGTGTTAAATGGCTCATCACTCCTGACGTGGTCACCACTCTTCAAAAGTCAAAGCAGCTGAGGCTTGACCTTGGCTTTAAAAGTAACTTGGTCACTAATGTGCAGTGCCACGGAGACTCTTGGCTTTCCCTCCACTGGAGCCAACATAGAAAAGCAGATGTGGTAGTAGTGCACACTGACACTATTCCTAGTGTTCAAGGCACACATGCACATGATGAGTGTAGGACTTAACTAAGTAGTCATTCCATGACTTAAAAAGATGTTTGGGAGGGAATGGTAATGGGAGTAAGCTATTACCAAAATCTGTTACTGTGATTCCCTGAAACAAATAGTGCTTTTTAGGGGACAACAACTTGATAAAAACATCTGGTGAAAGTGCTGGTGCTTTTATTTTACTAATAAGTAAGGCTCAGGTCCACAAAGAGACATGAGCAGCTAGAAAAATCACAGGAATACTGTGATCCGCAAAGCCTGAGTTAAGAGTAGGATCAGTGGTTAGGGTACTCATCTAAGATGTGGGAACCTACCAGTTTAAAGTATCCCCTTCTGCCTGGATGAGGGTTTTTTATATCCATTTAATCTGTACATTTAAACAGGAGACTCCCATTTCTCAGGTGAATGCTCTAACCTCTGGGCTATGAGATATTCTGATGTCAGTCTCTCCTGTTGAAGCGATGTCACTTTGGATAAACAATTAGCTACTGAAGCAGGGGGACTGGATCTTGGGTCTCCCACATCCTCAGTGACTGCTCTAACCTCCCGGCTATAGGACCCTTCTCATGCATGCGTGCTCTCTCTCTGGCCCAATTACTCTTATTTTCTACAGTAGTGCCACTCTTTAAGAGGGGTGTCTGACATTCCCCAGCGTACAATCTGGACTGATGGGCAGCTGTGTCTCCCTCAGTTCTCCAACCTGGAGTGCCTTTTACACTGATCTGCTGTGAGAGCAACCACTCCTGGTCTGCCCGCACACAGCCTCCAGCATGTAAATCACTCTCAGCTATGCTCTGAGTGCTGCAGCCAGCCACCCTGAAATTACATTGCAGGGCAACACCAGAAAGCTTCCAGTCCCAGACTAAACCCCCCCCAAATGTGCATCTTGTACTGCCCAGCCCCTGCTGGACAATGCAAACTCATATAAAGTCTGCCATTTCAGTAATAGAAAATGATATACACAAATCTTGTTCTCTCAAATGGAATTTCCCAAACACTTCAATCTAAACACGCTGGTTTAGATAAAACAATAAAACAAGTTTATAAACTATGGAAAGATAGATTTTAAATGATTACAAGTAATGAGGCATTTGGGAGGGAGGGATAGCTCATTGGCCTGCTAAATCCAGGGTTGTGTGTTCAATCCTTGAGGGGGCCATTTAGGGATCTGGGGCAAAAATTGGGGACCGGTCCTGCTTTGAGCAGGGGGTTTGGCTAGATGACCTTCTGAGGTCCCTTCTAACCCTGATATTCTATTAAAAGAATTTGTTACAAAGAAATAAAAGGTAAAACATGACTGACACCTAGCTTAATAAGTTAAGTGAATTCAAAGCAAAAGGTTTCGCTCACCACATGTTCTAGCAGTCTTATTGGCTGAATCTTTCAGCCATGATCCTTCCACAGTCTAATGATACTTCCTTTGACCTTCAAGTGTTGTTGACGCTGTGAGTAGAGATAAAGGGAGAGAGATCCTTTGGAGGTGTGTGTTCCCCATTTTTATCTTTTCTTCCTCTTCTGAGAATCCTCTCCAGCTGGGGTTCAGGAGACTGAAAGTCTGTGGAGATGGGAACTTCCAGCTGTGTGTTTTGTTTTTTGGGGGTTTTTTTTTGACAAGATGTAAATTTCTCGCTCACGTCCTTTTTCCTGCCAAAGAATGGACACTTAACTAGATGTTAGTCCATTTTATTTTGTTGACACCGGGCTGAAGCATCAGTTTGCCTTTTGTCTTTGAGGAATTGGTCTAAACTTGGAATATGTCTCAGTAATGCTATACAGTGTTGCTACACATTTTAACAGGATAATAATGATCAGAACATTATGGATTTTCAGATGATACCTCACAAAGCATACTTTGTACAAAATCCATTATAGTTTTGTAAAAGAGTTTGTATCCCAATATTAACTATCATGGGGGGTAGGAGGAGGGAAGAGGGCAGGTAAAACACATGCCTCTCTCTGGCATTTCCCAACAGCTATTGGAGGTGCGGGGTGACCTACCATCCTGGCTTTTGTGAATCTCTTCTCTCTCTGCTGTACAGGAAATCTGAGTACCTGACTCTGTCTTTTAATCCCAGTGATTTTTTTTTAATCCTTTTTTTTTTTTCTTCTCCTAAGCACGTAAAAGCTAGGTGTTGCGAGGCTGTGTGACAAAAACTGATTCACAAATGGATTTTAGCCCTGAGACTCAGTCCCCATGCATAAATTCTTAGTGTAGCAAGAAAACTAGAGCTCAAAACCAAGTAAAATCGGTATGTTTTTTTCAACCTTTGGGAGCTAATTCAGTTCTGATAGACTAGCATTCTTTGATACATTGGATCAGTCTTTGGGGCAGAGACTAGGTCTCCTTTTGTATAGCACCTAGCACAAGGGGCTCTGCTTGGTGCATGTGGCTTCTGCTATAATTAAACTTTTTACAGTAGAGTAGAGAGGCTCTAAATTGAACATCTAAGTGAGTGGTGTAGGTATTTGTCTTCAGGCACCTGAAGAAAAGAATCAGCTATCTAAATCTTATGTCGTTTCATTTCTGTCTTTCAGCTTATAGATTTGAGTTCTCCTCTTATCACTCTGAGTCCTGAAGTGAACAAAGAGAATCTGGATTCCCCTCTGCTGAAGTTCTAAACTAAACATTAGCTGAACCAAAATTTTATCTTGGGACTAGCATCTGCAATCTTGATTTGATATATTAGCCATCTTCATAGGACTGTGTGGAGTGAATATCATGCAATAAAATCCCTTTAATGTACTACTGAATGTAACTTGTGTTGACAAAATGGAACTAGAATAATCTGTTCAGCAAATCCAAATTGGGAGCACTTGATTAACGTAACTGTCTTTAAGCATTGTTGCAGATCCATGTAGTTTAAAAAAAAAGTGCTGTATGTCTGCTTTAGTAAAATTATTTTAAATCTAATTATACATAACAGTAACCTTTTTCTAAAGGTTTACTAGTAAATGATCTAAAGTACTAAAATTAAACTGAAAATTAAAGCTAATGTGGTAGTTTTTGTAATTAAGGGATTTTAATGGTCTGTATACATATGAAAGCATCGCAAGTCTGGAAATAAAATGGTTTTGGGACTACTAATGTGTTACATGCTAATTGTGCCATAGAGTATTTCAGGAAGCTAAAATTAGCTACATTCAATAAAAGCATCTGGATCTAATTGTGTACTTTGACATAATCAGGATAATGTTAAAGGTGGTAGTGTCAGAACTTTGCAAAGTGCATATAAATTGAGTTGCCTGCCCTGAAGACTTTTTCTATAAAAGATTTAGAAAATGGAAAGAATGGGATCAGAGTGAAAAGTGCATTATGTTAATTTTAACTTCTGATAACTTTGAGATAGGGAAACATTGCAGGAACAGATAAAACAATAATGAGGTCAGCTGTAGAAAGCAAGGTAAAGGATGGGATTTGACAAGGCCAGCTGCTCCACTGTATGAGAGAGGTAATTCTAGATGTAAGAAATGATACAAAGTCAAGAATAGGACATAAAATGAGTAAAATACCTGGCTCTTCCCATTTTATCTTACGCATCAAATGTAAAGTCTGGTCTGCCCTACTTTTTGCTAGAGGTCTTGCTTGGAAGACCCAGAAATGGACTGGAAGCTTTTTAACCCTTCAACTATCAACAGACCTGTACTCTGATGTCCATGGTAACAACTCCAACTCAGCCTGTTTAAACTATAAAAGCAAAAGTTGAAGACAAAGCCTGCTATGAGCTGAATTGTTTAGATTTAAAACTCCTGATAAAGGTTCTTTAAGGCTCCGGGTAAACCCTTGGGTTCATATGACTAGGTGAAAGATTCTAGAAGTAGGAGGACACTTTTGTAATAACTGAAATGTTTCAATTGATGTTATGGGTTGAGGCTACCTTCTCTTCTCAGACATGGTGTATGTGGATCACGGGCCAAATCTGGACTACCAGATGCTTTTGAATGGATCCTGAAATTTTTTTATTTAATTATTCTTAGCCATCATCTATTGTTGTAGTTGCTGGGTTTTTTATTATTTTCTCTGGAGTCTGGACCTTGACAAAAAAAATTGACTATTCCTGGCTTAGGCCTACATCCTGATCAGACGAGCCAGAGAGGGAACCAATGGCATTACCACCAGCTTTGACTAAATCCTGAGCACTGCCTGGCATGTGAGACTTTGGTTCTGGTTCTCCGACTCCCTCATGTCAGGGGCCAAGAAGGCAAGAAACCAAGGTCCCCTCCTTTGGAAAATTCTGGTTGTGCCCCTGCCTATAGAGTCTCACAAAGCTCAATCTTTGCCTATACTATCAAACAGCTATATGAAGCAGATCCATCTCTCACCTTGACCACTCCTTTGTCAGATGTCAACACGATCCCCTAGCTTTCTCCACACAATCATGTCTGACTTGCTCCATGTGGCTTGAGGCTGCATAACTCCCAGTTTCTATGTAGTGTGAGACCTCCTGGCAATCCATTCCCTAGAGCAGGGGTTCCTAAAGGTGGGCTGTGACACAGTCCCGGGTGGTCTGCCAGCACAACTGCATTCTCCAGTCAAGCTCTTAGTAAATCTCTAACTCCATGTGACTTGTATAACTTAAGTAAAAGCTATATAAATGTAATGTTTTGAGACATATAGGACAGAGTTAGAAATCGTTAGTTAAAAAAATAAGCTGCAATATGTCAACTTTAAGTCTCATGAGTACAGCTGTGTGTTTCACTGCCAGGTAACCTAGCAACATACACACAGTCCACCATTTACAACTGTAAAAAACAGGAAGCAGTATTTCAACCTGACATGGATCGATTTATTTTTCAAAAGCAAGAAGGGTGCGTTGGTAGAGAAGATAATGAAAGTCCCAGACCACCTACAGCTATGCAAAATTAGCCAGCCAAAAAAAATAGTGGTAAGAAAATATGACGACACATACTTAAAGTTCAGATTCTCCTTTATGGGATTTGCAAAAAGAAAAGGAGGACTTGTGGCACCTTAGAGACTAACAAATTTATTTGAGCATAAGCTTTCGTGAGCTACAGCTCACTTCATTGGATGCAGTCAGTGGAAAATACAGTGGGGAGATTTATATACATATAGAACATGAAACAATGGGTGTTAGTTGGGGGCTGAAGGTGATGGCTAGTGGCGTTCTGTTATTTTCTTTGTTGGGCCTGTCCTCTAGTTACTGACTTCTGGGTACTCTTCTGGCTCTGTCAATCTGTTTTTTCACTTCAGCAGGTGGGTACTGTAGTTGTAAGAACGCTTGATAGAGATCTTGTAGGTGTTTGTCTCTGTCTGAGGGGTTGGAGCAAATGCGGTTGTATCATAGAGCTTGGCTGTAGACAATGGATCATGTGGTGTGATCTGGGTGAAAGCTGGAGGCATGTTGGTAGGAATAGCAGTCAATAGGTTTCCAGTATAGGGTGGTGTTTATGTGACCATCGCTTATTAGCCAGAAGAGTACCCAGAAGTCACCTACTATAGGACAGGCCCAACAAAGAAAATAACAGAACGCCACTAGCCATCACCTTCAGCCCCCAACTGAAACCTCTCCAACACATCAAGGATCTATAACCCATCCTGAAGGACGACCCATCACTCTCACAGATCTTGGGAGACAGGCCAGTCCTTGCTTACAGACAGCTCCCCAACCTGAAGCAAATACTCACCAGCAACCACACAACAGAACCACTAACCCAGGAACCTATCCTTGCAACAAAGCCCGTTGCCAACTGTGTCCACATATCTATTCAGGGGACACCATCATAGGGCCTAATCACATCAGCCACACTATCAGAGGCTCGTTCACCTGCACATCTACCAATGTGATATATGCCATCATGTGCCAGCAATGCCCCTCTGCCATGTACATTGGTCAAACTGGACAGTCTCTACGTAAAAGAATAAATGGACACACATCAGACGTCAGGAATTATAACATTCAAAAACCAGTTGGAGAACACTTCAATCTTTCTGGTCACTCGATTACAGACCTAAAAGTTGCAATTCTTTAACAAAAAAACTTCAAAAACAGACTCCAACAAGAGACTGCTGAATTGGAATTAATTTGCAAACTGGATACAATTAACTTGGGCTTGAATAAAGACTGGGAGTGGATGTGTCATTACACAAAGTAAAACTATTTCCCCATTTTTATTCCCCCCCTTTTACCCGCCACTGTTCCTCAGACGTTCTTGTCAACTGCTGGAAATGGCCCACCTTGATTATCACTACAAAAGGTCCCCCCCTCCTCCCCCTCCAGCTCTCCTGCTGGTAATAGCTCACCTTAAGTGATCACTCTCCTTACCCTGTATATGGTAACACCCATTGTTTCATGTTCTCTATGTATATAAATCTCCCTACTGTATTTTCCACTGACTGCATCCAATGAAGTGAGCTGTAGCTCACGAAAGCTTATGCTCAAATAAATTGGTTAGTCTCTAAGGTGCCACAAGTCCTCCTTTTCTTTTTGTGAATACAGACTAACGGCTGTTACTCTGAAACCTGTCTTTATGGGATTGGATCAGGATGAGTAGCCATTACTTCAGTGTGTTATAACTATTGTTTTATATTTTTTATAATTTTTATTCTTTTCTAACTAGTAGAGTGTAGGGTTGGTTCTTTACTTAGCATAGATATTGAGATTTTACACTAAAAAAATTGAAAACAATATTGTGGTCGAAGTTGGACAACTATTTTGTTTTAAAATTAACAATGTGTTTAACAATTTTAGTAACATTGTGTTGCTTATTGTTCAGTTTTATACATTGTGTTTTTCCCGTTTGAACACAACATATTGCTCTCAACGTTTATCCAAAGTCTAATTTTACGAAAACGGTTTGGCTTTGGAGATCTTGAAGCATTTCTATTAGTGTATATTGCTAGGGCTTTCTATCATTACAATTGTTTACATTAAAATGGTTGTTTGTTTGTAGTGTTATAGTTTGTGTATGTAATAATTAAAATCATTTGCCTCAAGAAGAGTTAATAGTGGGCCCCTGTGCTTATTACAGCTGGGCCTTAGCGGGAAAAGTGTGAGAACCCCTGCCCTCGAGGAAAGCCTTTCACGGTGTGCTCCTAGATAACAGCTCTGCTTGAGGCTGCACTGCTCTCTGCCATGCAGGGGGTGTCTGAGGGGACATCCTACCACGGGACCTGCTGAACCTGACTCTTGCTACTTTTCTCTTCAGGCTTCCCTTCTAGTACCGTGCCTGGGAGGGGGGACGGGCTCCCCCTCCCTGCTCCCACAGCACCAAGCGGCCGGCGAGGGCGCAGGGCTGCTAGGCCCCAGCTGCTGGCTCTGTCGGCAGGAAGACAGTCCCCAAGCAAGCCCTACCGCGGGAACTCACACAGCAAACGCATTTCTACACGGCGGGACGCTGCACGCCCTTCTTTAACTGGTTCCCAACGGGGGAGCATCCCCTGACCTCCCCCCGCAGGGGCCGGTGGCGGGGGGGGTAGGTCTCCGAGCCAGCACACGGCGCTGAGTCTCCTCCTCTCTCCGCGCCCCTCCCTCCGGTGGGGCCGGCTCTGGGTGAGGGGCGGGCTCGCCCCAGTCCGAGCCCGGCTGAGCTTCTCCCCGCGGGGCGCAGGGCACGTTCCCGTCCGCCCCGGCCCCTGCTGCGCCCTAGGAGCCCCGGACGCCGGAAGGGGAGAGCCGGAGCGGGCCGGGCGCCCCAGGCAGCGGGCCCGGCTCGGGAGGATGGCGGCGGCGCGGCGCGTGGTGTGCGCGCTCTCGGGCGGGGTGGACAGCGCGGTGGCGGCGCTGCTGCTCCGGCGGAGGGGTGAGGCGCCACAGGCCCGTGCTGCGGCGGTCAGAGCGTTAGGCGCCGCCGGGGCAGGGGGTCCTGGGGCCGGTGACACGGAGAGAAGGGCGGGGAGGAGGAGAAGAAGAAAGGCTGGGGTGCCTGGAGCTGGTGACACGGGGGCAGTGCCGGGTTTACAATGGCGCCATGGAGCCGGGCCCATGCTCAGAAGGGGCCCCGGCCTGCTCTGCTTGCCCTGTGCCCCGAGACCCCCCGCCCGTTGGCCCCCCGCACACTTGCTCCTCTCCGCTTGCCCGCTGGTCGGCCGGCCGAGGGCTCCTCTCCGCCCCCTGGCTGGACCCTCGTGCAATTCTGGCTCTGGACGGTCTCTGCTTCCCACCACCTCTGGGGCCCCGCCTGTGTCCCTGGAGCTGAGCCGCCTGGGACAGGTGCAGAAGCCTGGCTAGTCTCAGCTGGGTGGGGTGGGGAGGGGGGGCTTGGTTGGGTCCCTCCAGACAAGTGGGTCCTGTGGGAGGGGGAGTGCTGGGCTGTGAGGGGGCAGGGAAGATCTCTGTGTGTTGGGGCACTAGGGAGTGGGGGGTTCTGGGTGGGGTGCTGGGCAGTTGGGGTGGGGCTGTGGGCAGGGCACTGTGCATTTGTGGCAGGGTCTGGGGGGGGCACGCTGACCACAGTGCGTACGGAGCGGCTCTGGTCATAGGGAATTGGGGAGGGGGGGAAATGTGTGGTATGGCATGGACCTGCCCCCAAGGGGAAGGGGCATGCTGGCAGCACAAGGCCGGGCGTCTGGCAACTGCCAGTTTGTAAATAGTGCCCTTATGCTGGGCGAAGCAAGGCCGCCACTGTCATGCCATGCCCCATTGGCCCTGGCCGGCCCGTTGCTCTGGGGACTGACACCTCCCCCCACACGCCATGCTCCTTTGCCCCCATGGGGACCCACAGAAGGTTAATCTGGCTCTATACTGGGAGAGTTAGAAGAAGGGCAGGAGATCCTGGAGCTGGTGGGAGTGGAGGGGAAGGGGGAGGAGAAGGAGGGCAGGGGGGCCCTGGGGCCCATGACAGAGGAAGGGGGAGGGGAGAAGGGATGGGTTTCCGGGGCTGGTGACACGAGGGGAGAAGGGATGGGGTGCCTGGGGCTGGTGACACGGGAGAGAATGATGGGGGGGGGGCCTGGGGCCTGTGACACTTGATGTGGAGAGGGCTAGGGTGCCTGGGGTCTGTGATATGGGGAGGAAGGCTAGAGTGGCTGTGACAGGGAGTGGAGGAAGGGCTAGGAGTGCCTGGAGGTGCCCCGTCATCAGTTGCTGCCTGTGAGAGTATTACACTGTCCTAATTGTTGTCATTACAGATACTCCTGCACATACCTGTCTGTACCAGTTCATTCCAGGCTGATTTTCCTGTAACCTCTATCCCTTGAATTCATACAACAGTCACCCTCCTTCTCTCTCTGATAGTTAACCGTAACAATTTAACATTGTTCTTCTCTGTAATAGGCACTAAGTCTTGTTAAATATCAGATTATTTAAAATGTTAACACACTTTCTCACATGATTTTCCCAGTGTAGATATGGGCTTTCAGAGAATGAAACATGAATCTCTATTAATTCCCCATTCGCAAAATGGGGAAGAGATGGCCAGCCCTCTGTGGAGATAGAGGTGGTTAGGGACTATTTAGAAAAGCTGGACGTGCACAAGTCCATGGGGCCGGACGAGTTGCATCCGAGAGTGCTGAAGGAATTGGCGGCTGTGATTGCAGAGCCATTGGCCATTATCTTTGAAAACTCGTGGCGAACGGGGGAAGTCCCGGATGACTGGAAAAAGGCTAATGTAGTGCCAATCTTTAAAAAAGGGAAGAAGGAGGATCCTGGGAACTACAGGCCAGTCAGCCTCACCTCAGTCCCTGGAAAAATCATGGAGCAGGTCCTCAAAGAATCAATCCTGAAGCACTTGCATGAGAGGAAAGTGATCAGGAACAGCCAGCATGGATTTACCAAGGGAAGGTCATGCCTGACTAATCTAATCGCCTTTTATGATGAGATTACTGGTTCTGTGGATGAAGGGAAAGCAGTGGATGTATTGTTTCTTGACTTTAGCAAAGCTTTTGACATGGTCTCCCACAGTATTCTTGTCAGCAAGTTAAGGAAGTATGGGCTGGAAGAATGCACTATAAGGTGGGTAGAAAGCTGGCTAGATTGTCGGGCTCAACGGGTAGTTATCAATGGCTCCATGTCTAGTTGGCAGCCGGTATCAAGTGGAGTGCCCCAAGGGTCAGTCCTGGGGCCGGTTTTGTTCAATATCTTCATAAATGATCTGGAGGATGGTGTGGATTGCACTCTCAGCAAATTTGCGGATGATACTAAACTGGGAGGAGTGGTAGATACGCTGGAGGGGAGGGATAGGATACAGAAGGACCTAGACAAATTGGAGGATTGGGCCAAAAGAAGTCTGATGAGGTTCAATAAGGATAAGTGCAGGGTCCTGCACTTAGGATGGAAGAATCCAATGCACCACTACAGACTAGGGACCGAATGGCTAGGCAGCAGTTCTGCAGAAAAGGACCTAGGGGTGACAGTGGACGAGAAGCTGGATATGAGTCAGCAGTGTGCCCTTGTTGCCAAGAAGGCCAATGGCATTTTGGGATGTATAAGTAGGGGCATAGCGAGCAGATCGAGGGACGTGATCGTTCCCCTCTATTCGACATTGGTGAGGCCTCATCTGGAGTACTGTGTCCAGTTTTGGGCCCCACACTTCAAGAAGGATGTGGATAAATTGGAGCGAGTCCAGCGAAGGGCAACAAAAATGATTAGGGGTCTGGAACACATGAGTTATGAGGAGAGGCTGAGGGAGCTGGGATTGTTTAGCCTGCAGAAGAGAAGAATGAGGGGGGATTTGATAGCTGCTTTCAACTACCTGAAAGGGGGTTCCAAAGAGGATGGCTCTAGACTGTTCTCAATGGTAGCAGATGACAGAACGAGGAGTAATGGTCTCAAGTTGCAGTGGGGGAGGTTTAGATTGGATATTAGGAAAAACTTTTTCACTAAGAGGGTGGTGAAACACTGGAATGCGTTACCTAGGGAGGTGGTAGAATCTCCTTCCTTAGAGGTTTTTAAGGTCAGGCTTGACAAAGCCCTGGCTGGGATGATTTAACTGGGATTTGGTCCTGCTTCGAGCAGGGGGTTGGACTAGATGACCTTCTGGGGTCCCTTCCAACCCTTATATTCTATGATTCTATGATGATATCTCATGATTTGTTATGGCAAGGTTTGTATCAAACTCTTTTGATACCAAGGTTAAAGACTTTTTTAATTCACTATTTTACTTACTGAGTAAGAAGGAATTCCTTATTTTCAAACCTGAAGAGCTGTTGAAAAGAGAATAGGTTGAATATTTTCCATTACCATTGCAGCTGCATTAAGGGCCCTTACATGGGAAGTGCTGGTCTTACAGCATTTACTATTTGGCATAGAATTTGTCAAACACTGAAAAATTAGGAATTATACGCCTGCTGGGGGATAGGAAGAACAATCCCTTATGTTCTTTGATAGGTTTAGAAACATTAAGTACCAAATGCAGAGTTTTGCTGGGGTAACGCCTGCCCTCCTGCATTCTTAGAATGATTCAAGAGAGGGACAGCAGGGCCCGTGTGAGTTTAGGGAAGGAGGGAAAAAACTGCTGGGATGGGCCACCCTGAAACTCAGCTGGCAGGAGCAGAGAGAAGCATCTGCAATAGGACCCTTAGACACTTATGCCATCTGTGTGCAACTGCTTTGTAGTTTTTACTCTGGACATTCTTCCTTTCTGCTGATTGGCTGTTTGCTCCAGCTCTCTCCTGCCCCCTCCTTGACCATCTCTTCACTTCAGCCTCACTTCACCTACCCTCCAGAGTCCATGCACACTTCTTTCTCCCAATTCTCCTTCTCCTATCCCTTACCTACACGCACACACTTTGCCCCTCTCTTATTTATTCCATCCCAGCAAAACTAACATGATGTGCAGCTGACTATTCTTCTTCACTTTGCTGGTATGTTTCTTGTTTTGTGTTTTCTGAACGGATCTGTGTCTTGTGTTTTCTGTTTCCAGTTGGGATCCTAAAGGTTACTATAATACATAATTTTTTCCTCTCTGAAAAAAAATCTAAAATGTGTAATGATCCAGTATTCAACCTGTTAGTGTCACCTTAGGAGTTGGTTGTGAGTTCAATCCTTGAGGGGGCCATTTAGGGATCTGGGGCAAAAATTGGGGATTGGTCCTGCTTTGAGCAGGGGGGTTGGACTAGATGACCTCCTGAGGTCCCTTCTAACCCTGATATTCTATGATTCTATCTGACCAGGTGTTTTTAAATCTTCAAATTCATACTGGACAATGAGTGGGTGGGGGGAAAGGTATCTGGATGCAGAATACTCTGAAAAACTAGCAGTGGACAGAAAATCAAATCAATAGGAGACTGGCTTTTAAAAATTCTTTTCAGTCTATACATAAACAGGAATTACTAATATATGCAATGTAAAACAATCTTGGGGTCTTGGCATGTTCTCCGGGAAAGTCAGGTGCTCAGAATGCTGGGGTGAAATAATGGTATTTGGAAGAAATGAAAGAGGCTCTTGATTTTTTACGAAGCACACATCAGTCTGCCTTAATGGCTTGTCTGAGTGTTACACTATCTGTAGCAAGGAAGTGCAGTGTGAGGCACTGATGGAATGACTTCTTGACAACTATAAGAACACTCAGGATACTGTTGCCCAGTTGGGACTTGAAAGATCCAGAGTTTGGGTCTGATCCATAAGAATGTTTTCAGTATGTGAATAATTCCTTTCCTCCTCCCTTAGGCTACCAAGTGACAGGGGTATTTATGAAGAACTGGGATACTCTGGATGAACAAGGAGTTTGTTCTGCTGACAAAGATTGTGAAGATGCTTATAGAGTTTGTCAGAAACTGGATATCCCTTTTCATCAAGTTTCCTATGTCAAGGAGTACTGGAATGAAGTTTTCAGGTAGGATTGTTTTAGAGACATTTTCTTTAAAAATATAATTTCTCATAAAGTGTTAGTATACCTCTAACCCGATATAATGTGGTCCGCGGGAGCCAAAAAATCTTACCGCGTTATATATGAAACTGTGTTATATTGAACTTGCTTTGGCCCCCCCTGCTCCTTGTCCCCTGACCGCCCCCTCCAGAGACCCCCTGTCCCTAATCACCCCCAGGGCCCCAGCCCGCTCCACTCCGCCAGCTCCCAGCTGCGGCGCTCTGCTTCCTGCCGCCGGCGAGTGTGGGGAGGTTGGGGAAAGGATGCCCCCCACGCTCACCGGTTGCAGGAAGCAGAGCGCCGCGGCTGGGAGCTGGCGGAGTGGAGCGGGCTGGGGCCCTGGGGGTGATTAGGGACAGGGGGTCTCTGGAGGGGGCGGTCAGGGGACAAGGAGCAGGGGGGGCCAAAGCAAGTCGCCCCCAAAGCGAGTCGCCGGGGTCCTAGCCGCCGGCCCTGCTCAGCCCGCTGCCAAAACCAGGCCAGGACCCCGGCAGGCAGCAGCGTGCCATTGAAAATCCTGCCTGCCCCGGTCCACTCTTCTCCGCCGACCCCTCCTTCTCCTCCTCCCCCCCCCCCCCCCGCGCAGGGAAGGGTGAAGAAGCTTGGTGCTGCTGCTGCAGAGAAGGCAAGCTCCCTCCTCCCCCCGCCTCTTCCCCCAGCGTGCTGGTTTCCTGCCCCTCCTCCTCTCCCTCCCTGCCGCTGATCAGCTGATGGCCCTTACGAGAGAGGGGGAGAAGAGAGAGGGGGCGAGCGGCAGTACGCTCACTGCTCCAGGGAGGAGGCGGAGAAGAGGTGGGGACGGGGCCTTGGTGAAGGGGGGTGGAATCAGGGCATATCCCCTCCAGCCCCCTGCCATGAGCTGCTCTGGGCAGGGGGCTGGGAGCACTCCCATAAACCTAGCCCACACCCGCAGCCCCCTGCCCTGACCCCTGCACTCCCCCACGACCCCAGCCCTGACTCCAGCACCCCCACACATACCCAGCCCCCCATGCCCTGACTCCTGCACCCCCTCACATGCCCCCAGCCCTCTGCCCTGACTCCTGCACCCTCCTCACACACCCGCAGCCCCCTTCCCTGACTCCTGCATCCCCACACCCCATGCCCTGACTCTTGCAGCCCCCCACATTCCCACCCCTACCCTGAGCACCAAAAGGGAGTTCCTGCATCTCCCCCCCACATTCCCACCTGCACCCCTCGCACCAAATGGGAGCTGCCCAGGTAAGCACTCCACACCCAAACCTCCTACCCAACCCTGAGCCCCCTCCCTCATTCTAGCTCCTGGCCAGACCCTGCACCCTAACCCCCAGCCTACTCCTTCACCCCCAGCCCTGTGTTCTGTGCACTCCCACCCTCAGCTCAGTGCAGAGAGAGAGGAAGAGAATGGGCTAGAACCAGGGAGAAGGTAGGTACCCACTCTATGTGGGCAGGGCCGGGATCCCAGACCGGCAGCGGTCTGAGAGGGGCCGGCAGCCGGGACCCTGGCTGGCAGGAGCCAGCGGATGGAACCCCAGACCGGCAGTGGGCTGAGCGGCTCAGCCCGCTGCCGGTCTGGGGTTCCGGCTGCCGGCCCCTTGCCAGCCGTGGTCCTGGCCACAGGCCCCGCTCAGCCTGCTGCCGGCCTAGGTGAATGGAACCCCAGGCTGGCAGCGGGCTGAGCGGGCCAGCGGCGTAAGATCAGCATTGTAATTTAATTTTAAATGAAGCTTCTTAAATATTTTGAAAACCTTTTTTACTTTACATACGACAATAGTTTAGTTAATAATATATAGACTTACAGAGAGAGACCGTCTAAAAAACGTTAAAATGTATTACTGGCAGGCGAAATCTTAAATTAAAGTGAATAAATGAAGACTCGGCACACCACTTCTGAAAGGTTGCCGACCCCTGGGGTAGAGAATGGCAAAAGACTAACAAGGATAACTTAGTATTGATAATTAGTGTCTTTCATAAGACAGTACAGAAATATCTTAATGTGGTAGCAATTATTATTCATTCCTTGTCTTACAAGTTTAGGATCACCACCAACTAATATAGACATAGGTCTATTGGCATACTTACTTACATTTATTCTTTGAATTGATAGATGGGATTTCTCTGGAATTAGGTTAATTTGGCTATGTCATCCAGTTCCAATTCCTCCCTCTTTCTCTTTTCATCCATACTAACTAGCGGCAGTTTGAGGAAGGAAATATTTAATATGAACTTCAGTTACTTTCATTTACATCAGATTGGAGGAAAAAACCCTGCATATTAGACTACTTTTATTCTGAACCCAGCTCACCACCTAGTTGTCATAAAAACGAGCTTTGCTTCTTTCAGCCTCTTTTGTGTTTTGTAGACCAAATCCAGCAGGGGAGGGAGGGACACAGGCCTCTGAGCCAGAGGGGGGCTTGGGCATAGGTGTAGTTTTACTTCTGTTTTGTGTGGGCAGGGGCCAGCGGGGCTCAGGCTAGATCTGCATGGCAGGGTCCGGGGAGGGAATGCCACCTCCACCCCCTGACTCACCTTGGCCGGCCGCCTAGGTTGTGGGGGAGGGCACAACCAAAAATTATAACTCAAAGGTGGGGGGCTCAGCTCAAAAAGTTTGAAAACAGCTCAGGGTGCAGGGAGAGGGGTAGCTAGGGGTTGTGTGCAGCCAGTGGGGTAGCTCAGGGTGCAGGGAGAGGGGTAGCTAGGTGCAGGGAGAGGGGTAGCTCAGGATGCAAGGAGGGGATAGCTAGGGACTGTGTGCAGGCAGGGGGGTAGGTCAGGGTGAAGGGAGGGGTTAGCTAGGGGCTTGTGTGCAGGCAGGGGGGTAGGTCAGGGTGCAGGGAGAGGTTAGCTAGGGGCTTGTGTGCTGACGGGGGTAGGTCAGGGTGCAAAGAGGGGAATTGCTAGGGGCTGTGTGCAGGCACGGGGATAGCTCAGGGTGCAGGGAGAAGGGTAGCTGGGGGCTGTATGCTGGGAGGGCTCCCCTGCTGTCCCTGCTTCCTGAGGTCTCTGCCAGTCATGGAGCTGGGTCTTCCCGCCCAGGCTGCTCTTACCACCTGTGTGAGCAACAGGGGCTGGGACCTGAGAAGCAGCTTCAACGCCCTGCAGCAGCAGGAGACAGCTGCCTGCTCCATGGCACTTGCCAGAGCAGCAGCTGTCCTGCACTGCCTGACTCTGGCTGCCTGACTCTGACCTGGGCAGTGGGTGGGGAGAGAAGGAGGTAGAGTGGGGGTCTGGAGCTGCCCCGGGACTGCCCTGCTCTTGCACTGTAATTTCGGGGCAGGGGGGAGGGGAGGCAACACTCCTGTGTCCCCCCCAACTCTGCCCATGGGCTCAGGGCTTCTCCCCCCTGGGGAGCACTGGAGCTCGGGGCTCCGGAGTTCAGCCCTGCTGCTCCTGGCTTCGGCCCCACTGGAGGCATTGGGAATTGAGGCTTCAACCCTGCAGCTCCTGGCTTCAGCCCCGTGGGAGCTGCTCGGGCTCTGGGTTTTAGCCATGGTGCCCCACAGTCTCCCTGAAAGGGTTCACAGATCCCCAGGGGGGCAGCGGACCCCCTGTTGAGAACTGCTGATCTAAGAGGCTGCCAAACAATGGAGATTTTCCTTCTAAAAATTGTTTACACTACAGCTTGAAAAGAAAACGGGGGAACAAGGAAGTGCAGTTAAAATGAGAGCCTTATTTAATACTTAATATTTCAAATGTTTTAACTATTTTTCTTCTTTTCTGTATTTTTAATAAGAGGTTAAAAGGATTTTTAATGGTCTGTTTGCTCGGGTACTAAGCGTTCTATACCAGTGGTTCTCAAACGCTGAGTGTGATGCCCCCTTATAAATTAAAAACACTTTTTGATATATTTAACACCATTATAAATGCTGGAGGCAAAGTGGGGTTGGGGTGGAGGCTGACAGCTTGCAACCCCCCATGTAACAACTTCACAACCCCCTGAGGGCTCACGACCCCGCAAGAGCCCCTGCTGTATATCAAGCCTTGGACCTTGTTTCCAACTGTTTAATGTTGGACAGTGATTGTGTTAACACCTTTAGCCCATTTATTCCATCTAAATTAATATAACAGCCCTACCCTCCCCTACCTCCACTTCCCCTGACTATGGGTCCCTGCTTCCTTCCTCACCACCACTCTACACTCCTCTATTCCCTTGTGACTCCCTGCTTGGCCCCCCTCTTCTCAATTCCATGCATCATCAGATCCACTTCCTTGTTCCCCCAGTCATCTCAGCAGAGAAATACAATCAGGTTAAGCATAGGGCCTCACTTTGCTCAGTAAGGAAATACAGGGTGTCCCCTCCCCATTTTCCCTGTTGATACAGGAGAGTGAAGTTATTCTACCGTCTTTGGGAGTGCTAGCCTGGGATCTCCAAATAAGAGACAGTGCAACTCGAGGTCTTAAGCCCACACTACTACTTTTGTCAACCATTTCCTTCCCCTGTTTTCCCTGAGTCTTCCCCCTTCAGTGCAGGGCTCACATGCAGTCTTTTACTCTAGCAAGCAGCTTGCCCTTCCCTAGAACTTCCTCTTCTGCCTCTTCAGACTGCGAACTTACCTCTTCCCATGGTTTCTACCTCTTCAGGCCTCCTCTTCCTAGGCCTTTTTAACCAAGAGAATCACTCTGGATTTGCCTTTTCTGTAGTCTCTAACCAATATTGGAGAGATTCAGCAGCCATTCTTACTCCCCTTTTCCTTTGTTTTCTGCTTCCCTAAAGAACCTGCTGACTACCCTTTTTTTAGAACTCCCTCTGACTGACATGAAGGCTTCTTAGCCTATGTTGGCAAAACTTATGTTGCTCCAGGTACAAATATTCCACCCCCTGAGCGACATAGATTACACTGACATAAGCGTTCGTCTGCACAGCAAGCTTCTCCAGCCGACATAGCTTATGCTGCTTGCGAAGGTGGGGGGTTTTGTGCCGATGGGAGAGCTCTCTCCCACTGGCGTAGACTCAGTAGAGCATCTTCACCACACGTGCTGCAGTGGTGCAGCTGTACAATACAGCAAGCTTTGCTGTTGCCTACTTTCACAGGCTCTGGGAATTATTTCCTTCAGAATTTCCTCTGGGTTGTAGTCTTCCTTACAGGTTACAGTACACTCTTATGAATAAATTGCCTGTTTGGCCTTGCCCTTGAACGTCAAAGAGGAAAAACAAGAGCAATGCAGGTGTGGGTAGCCCAGCTGACTTAGTTGCTGGTATCATCTGTTAAATGTATGGGAAAAGGTAGTAAACAAAGGACAAACCATTTTGCTTTTTGTTTTTAAAATAGTCTGTCAAATGTAAAAATGTAAGGGACAAATCTGAGAGGCTGTTTCAGTTTGTAAAGAGTAAAAAATAAACACCTGTATTTTTTTTTTTTTAAGTGTAAAGTACGCTTTAATTAGCATGTACTGTTTGCGGGCAGAATCATTTGCTGTCAGTTTCTATTTATTTGAATAGGAATTGAGGACAAGAAACACCTTGCAGGCTCAGGCCCTAAGGTATTTCAGTACACATGCCCATCACCATAGTATTTAGGCGCTGTTGTTAATTGGCAATTGTTTAAGCATTTTGAACATGTAATAAAGCGTAATACAAGAGATAATCAGATACTGTGGTGATGAGGCCACGTTTGTCCCTAGTTAAAAATATAAATGCTAAGCACTTTTCTTATTGTAAAGTACAAAGATGTTGAAACTTAATTTGATAAATGCTAGTATGAGTTTAAATATGAAAAACTGTAGCTTAGTCCAGTCATGGAAAATCTTAAATGAGTGTTGTTTTACAGGTAAAATAAAATGTTAATGAATCGCTCATATGTTTGCTTCCTGCACAATTTATGTTTAGTATTATTGATAGGTGTTAAGCTCTCAAGAGTAATAAGTACTTCTTCACACTTGAATCAAATTATCTGACATTAAAAAATGTTTATAGTCGTACATTTGTTTTACAGTTACCTTTTAAATGAGTATGAATTGGGAAGAACTCCTAATCCTGACATAATGTGCAACAAGCATATCAAATTCAATTATTTTCTCCATTATGCTCTGGATAACCTTGGTAAGTTGTCTTCAGGTGTGTTTGTGCATACCCTATACTGCAAAAATGCCAAAGAGGAGCAAATTCTTTTTAAAATGTTGGGCAAGAAGCCTGATCTCATGTGCAAACACAATTTAAACATCTTTGTAGCCTTATACCAGTATTTGTAAACTATTTCTTTTCATGTGTTTTCAGAGATGTAAGTAAGTTTATTTCAGGGAACTCTCTCTTTTGTGAAGAGAAGTTTAAAATTTGCATTTGAAGGTGCTCCTTGAAACCAAAAAAAATGGAAGTGTGGTACCTCAAGAAATATGATTTTCCATTAAATATTGGAGCTGTATTAAGGTTAGGACAGCACTGGCTAGCTATGTAAAGTTTCTCAGATGTCATTTATCTTTATTTTTTGTTCCTGTAATCATTTTTGTTTCCAAATATTTCTATAACCTTTAATACTCTGAATATTGTGAAGTTCAAGTGTGATGTAGATGTATTTTTAAAATTGGCATAGGAGCGAATGCAGTTGCAACTGGACATTATGCAAGGACTTCACTGGAAGATGAAGAAATTTTCCAACAGAAACCTATTAAAATACCACAAGGGCTTTTCAGAAACCGATTTGAAGTTAGAAATGGTAAGTGGTTAATATGGCTTTGTCACAAATTCACAGGCCCAGTGCTCTGTCTTGGCTCCATATGGTCCCTGGGAGGAACAACTTTCAGTGTCAGCCCTCTGCGAGGATCGATTCTCTCTCTCTCTCAGGTTAAGCCATTTGACTCCATTGTCTCCTGGACCACACCTCTAAGCCTTTCCCATGGCTGGTGTGACAAAGTCATACCAGATGGCTGCAAGAAGGTCCTGGAAGACCAATTTGTTATCCCTAGAATGTTAAAGGCCCTTTTCCCTACAGGCTGAGAGAGGATTACCTCGGGTCAATTAGGGACGTCTGAATCCAATTAAGGACTTGCCTGAGGCCTTTAAAAACCCCTTCTCTGGGGAGAGAAAAGGGGATTGAGAATGACAAGCTGCTGCCAGGCTAGTGGCAGCAAGGAAATAAGCTTCTCCAGGCTGAAAGGCTGTGCTTCCTCCCATAGGAGGAACAGCCAAACCTGAATGCCTGCTAAGGGAGGGACCGACACCCTGCCCAAGCAAGGAGGCAAGGAAAGGTATCCCCTTTGGTTGTGTGTTTGAGACTGTTTCCTTTCTGTTTGTTTGGTGAAGGATCACCCCTTAGACCAACCCTGAAAACGGCCAAAGGAGCACAGAAGGGGGAAGGCAAACGCTGCCCAGAGCGGGGCTGATTTACTTCAGGGCTGCCATTGCCAGAGGGAGTAGTGCTAAGTCTGGCGAGACAAAGGAGGTGCCTTGCCACACTGGTCAGACTCAGTGAGCTCCCCTCAGTGAGTCCACTTGAACTGGACCCTTGGGGGAAGACTAGCAGAGAGGGAGCAACAAAACTTTTATATTGTAATAGGTTTCATAGTGGTAGCGGTGTTAGTCTGTATCAGCAAAAAGAACAAGGAGTACTTGTGGCACCTTAGAGACTAACCAATTTATTTGGGCATAAGCTTTCATGGGCTAAAACTCACTTCATTAGATGCATGGAGTGGAAAATACAGTAGGAAGATATAGATAGGTAGATATCACTCTCACACACACACACGAAAAGATGGGGGTTGCCATACCAACTCTAGTGAGACAAATCAATTAAGGTGGGCTATTACCAGCAGGAGAGAAAAAAAACTTTTGTAGTGATAATCAGGGTGGCCCATATTGTTACTCACAACTTCTTGTCAACTGTTTGAAATGGCAACCCCCATCTTTTCAGGTTCTCTGTGTGTGTGTTTGTGTGTGTAAAATCTTCCTACTGTATTTTCCACTCCATGCATCTGATGAAGTGGGTTTTAGCCCATGAAAGCTTATGCCCAAATAAATTTGTTAGTCTCTAAGGTGCCACAGGTGGTACTCTTTTTTTTTTTTTTTTTTTCTTTTTAAGATTGTAATGACTCTCTGCCAGCGTTGTAAAACAAATGGATTTGTTGGAAGTCTGGAACACAGCATAGAAAGTTCTCGGATAGCCTTTAGAACAGAAAGTTACAGCATAGTTCCTTTGGGTCTTCCTGAGTTCAAGTGGGTCCAGACCCCTCTTTGTCCCCAGTCTAGAATCATAGAATCTAAGGGTTGGAAGGGACCCCAGAAGGTCATCTAGTCCAACCCCCTGCTCGAAGCAGGACCAATTCCCAGTTAAATCATCCCAGCCAGGGCTTTGTCAAGCCTGACCTTAAAAACCTCTAAGGAAGGAGATTCTACCACCTCCCTAGGTAACGCATTCCATAGAAGTGTTCCTCCTTCCAGCCTCCACACTATATCACCTTCCTAAAAGCTGCTACTCCTTGCTTTGTCTTCTTTCTTGGGTAAACAGATCACCTGGGCTCTGTCTCTTCAGCCCTTTGTTCTCCCACTGGCCAAAACCAGATGGGGAGGGCCTTCGGGTCACCGGTTGCTAAGTTATAAAGTGTCCCAGCCATTGTCTGGGGTCCAGGCTGCTACATAGCGGAAACTGAGGCATGCTCAATATTCATATAAAACATTAAGAAAATTCCCCACTTTGTCTCTTACACAATCATATTAAAAGCAACATGACTTCCTCAGTTGAGGTCTCTCAAAGCACTTATCTTTGTAAGAACTTTCCTTAATCACAGTTATATTTATAAACATTAAAGAAACAAGATACATAAATGGCTTTAAGCTTAACATTTTCTTACACAGTATTGCCAGCCCCCTTGGCATTAGGTCATGGTGTTGCAGGGGTCTTAGCCTCCAGTGTTCCCTGTTGCCTACTACTTGGCCCTATAATAACCCGTTTCTGTCCACAGCTTAGCCCTCCAGCTAAATTGCATCTGATCTGGATCCCTTTCAGGATAACAGAAATCCAAACATCCCGAACAACCCATCTTGGGCTATGCCTCAACCCATCTGGATTCAGTTCTCAGCCCCACCCTGGGCTTAATGGTCCTTGAGTGGAACTTCTGTGCACCTTCTTTGGGGCAGACCCATCTTCTGCTTTGAGTTCTCGCCCAAGGACCCTTTGTTAAACAGCTAGGTCTGTGCCTTTAAACATGGTGCGGTTTTTCTGGGCTACTTCCTGCCTCCAAGGCCCTTTTGCTGTTTCCCAGCAGGCTATTTTTATTACAGCATCTTCTGTGGTTTCCAGACCTCTCAGGCTTCTTCCTAGTTCATCTCAGCTCCTTGCTCCTCCCTTGGAATGCTGACCCCAGGATTGCCTCCCTGGGTGTTGCTCCTTTTCAAAGGCCCATCACAGGGACTAAATCCATCCCTGTAGCCTTTTTCAGCATGTCTTTGCCAGGCCTTTACCCAGGGAAGTCCTTAGGCATACCCAGCATAGCGTAGGGCACATGAAAATTTGGGGTACCCCTGGGTCTTAGTGTCCACCCTCCCACCTCTTCCTATCCCTGTTCTGACCCTTTCTGCAGACTCCCACCACACCTGGCTGGTGTAGCCTGGTGAGTCTTCCTCTGCAGGGGATCTAGTACTTAAAAGAGAAGAAGCCTTCCAGCTTGCTAGACCTATTAACACAACATTGAAACTGTTAAAGAGTCATTCAAGTGGTAATGAAGCATTTGCCAAATAACAGGCATTTGCCAATCCCAAGATATATACTGTCAGTTTCTCAATTTACTGACAGAAACAGTTGTGCCTCACTGTAATATTTACTCAGAACATGTTCGGCTACAGGTCCTTAGTTTAAAATTTGCTTTAAAAATATTTCATCAGTGTGTTACTGAAGATTATAAAATCACATCTCTAAAAAATCCTTGCATAGTTTTTAGATGCACAGTCTGAGTATTCATCTTTAGCCTTAAATGCTTGGATCTTCAGACATATAGTTTTTTAAATAAATCCTTCAAAAGATCACCCTTATCTAAAATACACATGCGAGCTCGGACTGCCGTTGGGCATAGGGGCACCAGTTTAATAATACTGTATAGGGCACCATAAATCCTAAGGACAGCCCTCCACACCTGACAGCCCTTACTCGAGAGCTGTAGCTCACGAAAGCTCATGCTCAAATAAATTGGTTAGTCTCTAAGGTGCCACAAGTACTCCTTTTCTTTTTGCGAATACAGACTAACACGGCTGTTACTCTGAAACCTGTCGAGAGAGAAGTATCTCCCTACCTCCTCTCTCCTGGGCCTCCTTTTTTTGAAGGTGTTCTCCTTTCTCGGTGTAGTCTTCCCTAATCCTTGCACAGCTGTGGTCACTAATGGTAATCAAGCCATCAGGTCAGGATCAGCAGGGGGATAGCTGCTACATCATTGGTGAGGCTGATCCTGACTCCCCTTAAAGGGCCAGCCAGCCTGTGACAGTTGGTTACAATCATAATACATTTCAAGATGATATTTCAACATTATTAAACTTCAGTAGTCAAACTTCTTGTTGTAATATTGTTGGAATTCTGCACCAAAAAAATAAAAATTCTGCGCACAATATTTTAAAATTCTGCAAATTTTATTTGTCAATAAATAAATGTGGAGGCTCCAGCATGGCAGTGGGAAGCACAGGCCACTGGCTGCACAGAAGTGGGAGATCACCCTGCAACCCCCTCTCCCCCCCGGGGAGGGGGGAGACATAGACTCAGTGATGAGGCTGCCCCTGACGCAGCATAAGTGCTGGGTCTTCCCCAGAAACACCCCGGAGCCCTGACCCTCTGCACCCGAAGCACCAGGTGTGGGCAGGCAGGCTCAGCCCAGCAGGCTCCAGGTGTAGGGTGAGAGGGTTCTGTGTGGGGCAGTCTGGGTGTGGGAAGCTCTGTGGGGGGTGCGGGGCAATTGGACTCTGCAGGGGGGGTCCATGTGAGGGTAGTTGGGTTTCAGCAGAGCGGGGAGGGGGTCTGGATGCCGGGGGAAGGGGCTCGGCAGTGCTCCAGATGCAGGGGGAATAGGGCTTGGCGGGGAGGGCCAGGTACAGAGGGGTGGGGCTCAGTGGGGATGTCTGGGTATGGGAGCGTCCGAAGGCACAGGGGCTGAGTGGATGGGGGAGCATCTCCTATATAGTGACCCTTCTCCCCAGTACTGAGGAGCAATTGAAACAGAAGTGGGATGGCATGTGGAGCCAGGGGAGGCTTCTGGGGGTGGCTCTAACCTGGCCCTGGCCGCTCTGTGCACTCCTCCCCCAGCCCAGCTGGGACTAGCAGCTGAGTCTGGTGCAGGGTAGGAGTCACCAGCTGAGGCAATCCCCAACCGTGGGGAGGGCCAGGTGTGGGGTGAACAGCTCAGTGGGGGGGGGGGTCCAGAAGCATGGGGGTTGGGTGGACAGGGAGTGGGTCTAACCCAGCACTGGCCGGGGCATCCCTCCATCCCCCAAGTAGGTATTTACCTCTCCGTCAGCTGCTCCGGGTGCTTGAAACCATGCGCCCGTGCTGCTGGGCAGGGCACGTAACCACTCTTGCAGCTTCCCTTTGCTTCCCATCAGAAAGTCATGTTTTTCCAGGGAAGCAAAGAAATCTGCGAATTCTGTGTGGAGCAGCGGCACAGAATTGCCACTGGAGTAAAATGAGAGACAATAGGTAGGGTGGAGATAAGCAGAGACATGAAAGGTCTTGAAAGTGAAGAAAGTAGCTTATATTGAATGCCATAGAGAAGGGTGAGCCAGTGGAGGGATGCAGAGAGATGGGTGATATGGTCAAAGTGACAGGATAAGAAAATTATGTTTGCAGCAGCATTCTGAATGGCTGGGAATGGGACATTGTTGCATTTGTCAAGTCCAGAGAAAAGGATGTTGCAGTAATTGAAACGTGACATAAGGAGAGTCTGGATGAGAGTTTTAGCTGTGTGGATGGATTCATAGATTCCAAGGCCAAAAGGTACAATTGTGATCATCTAGTCTGACCATCTGTATGACACAGGCCATAGAACTTCCCCAGAATAATTCCTAGACCTAGATTATATCTTTTAGAAAAACATCCAGTCTTGATTTAAAAATTGCCAGTGATGGAAAATCCATCACACCCTTGGGGCATTGTCCTAAATGGTTAATTACTCACTGTTAAAAATTTACCCCTTGTTTCCAGTCTGAATTTGTCTAGCTTCCGGTTAAAACAATTGGATCATGCTACAGCTTTCTCTGCTAGATTAAAGAGCCCATTATCAAATATTTGTGTCCCATGTAGGTACTTATAGCCCAGAAGGTGGCACTTCTAGAGTAGACCTGAAAGGTAAATCTGTGTTATCAGCATATAGATGGTGGTTTTATTTGCGTCTGGAGAGTCAGCATTTTCCAGGGCAGGGAGAAACCCCACTTTCCAACTTCTGTTTTGTGACACCTCTTAACTATCTATCACCATGAATGTGGTATTCTAGGTGTGTTTCCAGACCTATTGTGGCAACTCTCTATTACTAGATGTGACTGACCAGTATCTCAAAATCATCTCTCAGTCATTTGAAACAGAAGGCATTGATGTGTTAGCCATGAAACTCCAGAGCTATGATGGAGACTAGTTCTTATCCAAATGGACAGAATATGACTGAAAATTACAGTATAACTATGTGATGGAGGCTGACATCATGGGCTAGTTGGATCATAATTATTACATATACAAGACAGGATCAAGTTGTTTGTGCTCCGAATCTGTAGATCATTTGTATAAACAAGTCAAATTTTGTTCTGTGGTACTGCTGTAGGTCTGGAATAACTCCAGTGACGTTAATGTGGATTTACATCAGTGTGACTTTGAGCAAATTTGGTCTAACAATTTCTTGAAAAGCAAGATACAACACTGTTAGCTACATTTACAAACAGCAATATTTTAAAATATTAATTTATAGCATTGCTTTTCTTACTAGGAAAATTCACAGTGATGTAAAGAAAACAGAGGTTCAGCAAAATACAAAATCAAAATCTGTGTAGCTCTTTTTGGTAGTTTTAAAGAAAAATATTATAAAAATATTCTAAAAATCTTGGAAATTTTTATCATTTTATTAAAATGTTTAAGACCATAATAAACAGGCAAAACCAAATATTTGGAATGTTGGGTGTCATAAGTCAAACATGGGATTAACTGGTGTTCATGTTAGTTTGAGTAATCAGTTTTAACCCCCATTTCTTCTTGTAAAATTGAACAAAAGATACAGTATTAGGAAATGTAGCAATATCTAGGTTGTAAAAAATGCCCCAAATGTTTTCTGTTGAATACAATGAGAAAACTCGCTAAAATGTGTTTATAGTAGAAGTTCTTATTTTAGGTTGAATTTTAACTAAACTTATTTGTAAATAGTAGGAGTTAAGCTATGTAACATTGAAACATCTTGTGTATTCTACATCTTGCAGCTGTAAAACTCCTTAAAGGCGCTGACCACTGGAAAGACCAGACCTTCTTCCTCAGTCAGATTTCACAAGATGCTTTGAGGAGAACCATTTTTCCTTTGGGAGGATTGACAAAAGATTTTGTAAAGAAGATAGCAGCAGAACATGGATTTCATCATGTGCTAAAGAGAAAAGAGGCATGGTAACACTTATTAAATTTTTGATTTATATTTATCTCTAAACCAGAGGTCCCCAATGTGGTGCCTGCGGGCACCATGGCGCCCCCCGGGGCATTTTTGTGCACCCGCAGGACACTCCGCTGCCGAAATGCCGCCAAGAAGCGCTGCCATTTTCCGGCAGCATTTTGGTGGCAACGCTTATTACCACTGCCACTTCTCGGCGGCGGGGTGTCTGGTACCCGCCACAGTCTTCTGGGAATAGCAATACGCTATTCCCACAAGAAAGTTTGGGGTCCACTGCTCTAAACCATTCTTTTTCTGATTTATATGTTATTATAAACATTAATACTTGTTAGGTAAACTTTAAATATAGTCATAGTTTTTTTAATTACATTGCATCAAATTAAGTCAAATTACTTCTGAGTAACATAATAAAATATATTTGGACTGTAAATTGAGTTTTGCATTGTTTACGCAGTTGTCTCTACCTGTCCCAAAGTACTGTTAAGTGTGTTTAGGCTGGATATTTTAATTTTTGGTTTTGTTTTGTTTAAAAAACTCCTCTACCATTGTAGCTCTGAGGAGCTGAGGTGAGGGATGTGGCCTGTTTCCAACCAGCACAAGTCACAGAGATAGCCAATGATTTATATTTCACCATGGTTCTCTGTATCTCTACTATGGTTGGTTGCAGGATGCATTGATATAGATTGTTTGTTTGTTTTTTCTTAGGTCGCTTTTTTCACAAGACAAGTTCTGTTTCCATAGCTAAGGAACTAATGCTTTATGGTGTGATATTTTGGAGTATGAATGTAAGCAGCTGCTATGTTCCTGATTATGTTCCTTCTTGCTTTTAGTACTTGTACTCATCTTTATAGCAAGAAGTTTTTTACTACGCTGTTGTCTGAGGACTGTATTATAGGGTTTTTAGGTGATGTAGTTTCAGGAAGAAAGAAGAACAAATCTGCAGAGGTGCTTAAGCATTGCAGTGATAAGTGTGAAAGTAATTTTCCACCCTGGCCAACAAAACAGCTAGGGCTTCTCCTGCCGACAGGATTAGACAGCAGTTGAGCAGGAGTTTTGTGGATCAGAGTGGAGTCGAAATGTGGTACTTAAGTACCTAAATCTGAGGTTCAGGTGCCTAAGAACCTTTGTGTATCTAGGCTTCAGTGACTTGCCTGTGTGTTAGTATTGTATCATAAGGTAAAGGACAGGTCACTTTTTTAAAATATACATGCAACACAGTCATCAAGATGTGTTCATGTCTTACTGAGTAACCATGTGATCTTATTGTCACCCGTGTCTTTCTCCTCTTTCCTGTGCTTATGATTTTTACTTGTATTGAATTTAGTTTGTGTGCTCTTTGAGGCAGCGATCTTTATATTCATTTTGTGAGGCACCTAGCATATTTCTAAGTGCAAGGGAGGGTAAATCTTTGCTGTACTGATAATGAATGTTTTGACGTTAGTATTTTAAAATGTTTCATTCTGCTTTTTTATAGTGTGCGTTCATTTTATTCTTTTTTTTTTTAAGAGTATGGGAATCTGTTTTATTGGTGAAAGAAATTTTGAAAACTTCATTCTTGAGGCAAGTAGCATTAGATTTGGGGAATTTATAAACTTCTGTTCTGATTTCCCTAGTAATTTGTAATGTGGCCTGGGGAAAGATCTTTTATGTAACTATTTTTCTTTCTTGTAGTATTTAGAACCTCGTCCAGGTAACTTTGTTTCCATTGAAGATAACAAGGTGATAGGAACACACAAAGGTAAGCAGCTGCCTTTCCTAGCTAATTGATTTTAAATAAACCGTTTGTGTAATATATAACAATGCTTTTTTTTTTTTTTTTTTTTTTGGGAAAGACTAGTTCTGTAAAATTCCAAAGATCTATAATCCCATTCTGTTTTGGTATGCCTAATGAATCATAGAAGATCCATTAACCCTGTAACTATGGCTTTGGTCTATCTCTAGTTTTTATATTAGTTTTATATCGCAATAAAAAGAAAAACCATAATTATTGCCTAGCACCAGTGATACTTCGGATTACTTTGTTGCCACTAGGTAGGTCATCATTAATTTTATGCTAAGGGAACATTGTCAATTTGATTTATTTTTTTAAATGACTAAGTTTCAATTCCATTTTCTGATAGAGCGCCCTTTAAATGTCCAGAAATTTTAAATTCCTTTAAATATAAGTTTATACAGGTTCTTTTGGGCAGTTAGAGAACACCAGCACCAGATATGCCCAAGTTCACCTCCTCTTTCCCCTCCTTCCTCTCTGTGAACATCTGCCTGTTGCCTCTTCGCTTTCAGACTCTGTTACTGATAAACACCCTTCCAAGGCTTGCAAAAGAGCCTACACCTAAGATCCCACAAGCCAGTGCACGAAAATCTGATGTCAAGTTAGTGAATATAATAGGAAGTGAAACTGACTCATTAAAACTGTGAAACTGACAAGACACATTTATCAAATTCACAAACTAAACAAGCTGAAATACTGATGTTTTTCTCTAATCTAGTTCAATTATAGTAGTCTTTGGGGTATTTGTCACAACAGCAGGTACAGACTTTTAGGATAAAAACTTTTTCAAGTTTATGGGGTCTCTCTAACTTTTGCTCAGTGGTATACTTAACCTTTTGAGGAGAGGGATTTATGCATTTGAAAGATTTTGATTTCTGCAGCTAAAGAGTTAAGGGGTGTTAGCTGTGTTAAATTTTCATATTTCTTTAGGTTGTTTCCTGTATACAATAGGCCAGAGGGCCAAGCTAAGCGGCCTCAGTGAAGCTTGGTTTGTTGTTGAGAAAGATACAACCTCAGGAGATATCTTTGTGGTAAGTTTATTTACACTGATACTGTGTGTGATTAATGTAGGCATTGCATGATTCCCACTGAAAAGAATGTGATTCTAATCTATGTAGAAGTCTTGGCTTTTCCATTTAAAAGAGAAACAAAAGCTGCCAACTGATACAGCATTAATAGGTTTTATACATCCTGTCCAAAAATTTGGCATCTGATTAGTAGACAGTTGTTAGAGATTTTAGCTTGAAGTATGTTCCAAACTATTGGCAATCAAGCTCCAGTGTACTACTCCAAAACACAAGTCGTTTTTCATATAGCCATTGTGGCACAATACATAATACTTTATCTAAAACATTTCATTTATTATATTGGTATAGCAAGTTGCTAGAAAATGAAGTATTGAACACTAATACAGTTTCACCTCTCTGTGAAAACAGACAAGATTCAGCTCTGTAAATAATTTCTGCCTTACTGACAAGTCAACATGTAGCATTCTCCAGCATTCTGAAGCACCCTAACATCACTAATGTTTTGTGCAGTGTTTGGTTATCTAATTGGCTAGTGATGTTATTTTTCTTGCTCTGGAGTGTTTCATTGTAGCAGATGTGCTTTCTTGAGACAGCACCGTAAACCAAAAAGGGGATGAAGAGAGAAATGAGCATAAGAGAATTATTTCATGCCTTAGACACTGATGTAAGAACCTCCTCTTGGTTGCAGCTTGGATGCCAGACTACTCAGTTTTGTGGTGTTCTCCCTTATGCCACTGGCAGAATGACAAAATAGTAACTTGAGAAGCACTTCCAGTGGCATGTATTTTTAACTCTTTATGCTTTACCTACTTCTCAAAAATTCCTTCCGGAGGTAGCGTGTCACATGAATTGGCATTTGTCTTCCATCACCCAATGCTATTTAATCAATAGAATAGCATAGATTTAAAGTCCAAACATCTTTGGTGTCTTATGATTGGTAATGATAGTTGGGAGCTTGTTACATTACAGCATTCAAAAGTATATTAGTCACTTTTTTAGAACAAATGGTAAGACATGGTCCATGCCCCTAGAAGGCTTACAGTCTGTTAAATATGATTTGATAAGTGAGGGTAAATCAATAGAGTGGGGAATGGGTGAATAAGGACAAGGGAACAATAACAAATCACATTTCCTCATTATAAGCATGTGCACATCTTGATTTCTCAATTCCTTTTTTTTTTTAATATCTATCTATTTTTTAAATGGATATCAAGGAAGAAGAGAATCTTAGAAAGGGATTTGGATGAAGAAAAGATAGTGGAATTGTTGGATCAAGATAATGAGGACAATACTGCATAAGGGTCAGCATGGAGAAAGGGCTGGCAAGGATTGTGGGAGAAATGCACAAATGAGCTGGCATAACTGTGGGGGTGAAGGAAGCACGACGCTGAATAATAATTCATACTTGCTATGGCATATTTTTTTCATGAAAGATTTAAGAAAGCTGGTTAGAATCTAACATCTACTTGCTTTACTAGTTGATTAGCTTTTATTTTGTTATGCCTTGATGTTTTCCTGAAATCTATGTTTTCATTCACAGCAGTTATGTAATATCTGGCATAAACATTGGTATTAAACAAAAATGTTGTACTTTAAGGCACCATCTACAGAGCACCCTGCACTGTATAGAGACCTACTGCGGACAAACCGTGTGCATTGGATTGCAGAGGAACCTCCTGCTGAGCTAATTAGGGACAAAATGATGGAGTGTACTTTCAGGTTTCAGCATCAGATGGCACTAGGTGATCAAACTTTGTACATTTAAATCTATTCAAATTCTGATCTGGGTGATAGATTGAAATAGGGTCTAATATAATTTCTCAAAGTAGATAAAAATGTTTGTGCTAATGATGCTTTTCCATTTTTTAAAGACTTAAAAAGCATTATTTTTGGAGACATCTTCACTCATTAGACTTGTTTCAGCCAGTGAAAAACTAGTTAATTGATTTGTGACTATAAGGGTGAGCTAGCTGGCTGTTTAACAACTTTCTCTTTTAGTGCCTTGCACGTTAACTCTAAACCAAGATGGGACAGTGTGGGTGACACTAGTCAAGCCAATAAGAGCTCTTACACCAGGGCAAGTAAGTGTTGCCAGAATTGATTCTTTTAATTTCTATTTACTAGCATCCTGCATAACTTCAGTTAGAAGAACTTCAGAAAGTTCATCCACCCAGTTTTAAAGAACTGTTGTTTCAGGCTATCTAAATCAGCGGTGGGGAAACTTTTTGGCCCTAGGGACACATCAGGTACAGAAATTATATGGAGGGCCGGGTAGGGAAGGCTGGGGGAGGCTATGCCTCCCCAAACAGTGAGGCGTGGCCTGGCCCCCGCCCCATTCCAGCCCCCCCGGAACTGCCCCCCCCGGAACTCTCACCCCTATCCAACCCCCCCGGCCCCGCACCCCTGACTGCCCTCCCAGGACTCCTGCATCCCATCCAAACACCCCTTCTCTCTGCCTCCTGACAATCCCCCCGGGACGCCCGTCCCCTATCCAATCCCCCCTGGACCCACCCCCATCCAACCCTCCCTGCTCTGCCCACCCCACATTACCTATGGGGTGGGGGAAAAGGGGGCTCAGTCCTTTCCCTGTACGTTTTCCCTGCTCATTTGGCTGCTCTCCCTGGCAGTTGGGCAGGGCTTGCTCCCTGTCTGGGCTTGGCTGCTGGGGACAGGGGCCAAGCATGCTGGAGGTGGAGGGGGGCCCTGGTTTGCTCTGCCCCTGTTCCTGGCAGCAGGGCCCAGGCCCCTTGACCACCCCCCTGCAAGCCCCCCTCCTCCTCGCCTGCCCCGGAACTCTCCCTGACCGTGCCGCCCGGCCGGTGCTGCAGCCACACTGCCCGGGTGCTGGGGGAATTGTGACTGGGAGGGAGGGAGGGAGGGAGGGGAGCTGAAGGGGAGGGGCTAGGGGCTAGCCTCCGCCCCTCTCACCACACTGCTGCGGAGTTGGGCTGGCTCCTCTGCAAGCCTGTCCTGACCCCGCAGGAGCTCAGGGGCCAGAGGGAAGGGTCCTGCGGGCCGTAGTTTGCCCCCTCTGATCTAAATCATCACTCAGTTATTTTACTAACATTCAGAAAGTTTTCTCCAAAAACCAAAATGAAAGAAACTTGATTTAGAAACTTTGGGCCTCTCTAAACCCCATTGCAATACATGTAAATATTCCCTTGGATGTTAGTGGACTTCGGATCAGACCCTGTATGCAGAAACTGAATCTGTTATGGGTCTAAATACATACATGAATTGAACCAGGAGTTTGGTTAATAATTTGCTTATTAGAAACTTTGTGATACTGACTTTCATATTTAATATTTGACTCGGGGAGTACTATTGGTTTTTTGAATGTCCAGAAGGTTATCTGCTTCTGACAGATTCACATGTCCCAGCATAAAAGTGAAAAGAATAATTACATAGTGGTATGTAACATAACAGCCTTTCACATTCAGTACCACACCATAGAATGTATAACTCAGCCTTTTGAAGAGGCTCCTGTGAAAATGATACACTCTACTTACATGACTATCAGCCCCTTATTGAAAAGCTTTTCAAACAAAAAGTGTTACATAATAACTAAAGAGAGATTCCATCAACAAGAAAAATAATTAAAATAACTATCTTACCACTGATTTCTCATGTAATATTGTAAAATTTCATGATGGAATTTCCATAACATTTTATATTTATACTCGCATGAGTCAACAGTTCTAACTATTCATTCTCTTTACACTCCCATTTTATGTAATGTGGTCAGAGCAAATACAAGGGAATAAATTTAATGTTACCTTGAGTATTCAGGGTGATCTCCCTTCTTATCTGTCAGTCTCTCAGCATGCCACTTTGCCAGTGCTCTAAAGACTGTCGCTGTGTTTGTCTTCTAGTTTGCTGTGTTCTACAAGGGTGACGAGTGCCTTGGCAGTGGAAAAATCATGAGGCTGGGCCCATCAGTGTACACCTTGCAACAGGGCAAAAGCAGAGAGCAGGATCCAAGGTGTGTGTTAGCAGAGACCAAGAAGTTAGAACCAGCAACATAACTCCTGCACTTTTCTTGATTGAAAGACTTTGGGGAAACTGGAGCCTTAAAATAACGAACACACACACACACACACACACACACACGTATTCTCTGACAAACTATGACTTTTAAAGGGTGAATTATGACAGTCCTGTCCTTGTATTTGATTGATGGTACCTGAGAGGGTTTTTGAACAAAAAACAGTTTTGATATGGTTTCATGAAAATAGGTCAGTAAGATACTTCAAATAAGTAACAGAAACATAGTATACAAAAAAATGGGCATGACTGGATGAGACCCATCCTGGCAGTTTCAAGATCAGCACTTTCATGTTTTCAGAACTGAGTTAACTGTAAACCAAGTATTTAAAGTCAGAGTCTTTCTAATATAAATACACTGTTTATGTACTACTCTGTTCTATAAATTTATGAAAGTCTCTACAGCTTGAAAAAGCTGCTTTTCCCTCTTCGTTTCTTGTGCTATGAATCAGCCTTGTGGTTGAGAACTCGTTATTAATGAATTTTCAATATGTAATAAAACAATTAATTTCCTAAAATTGCTCTGTTACAGCATCAGCATATAAAATTATTTTAAAAATGCCCGAAACACTAAACTTCTCTTTTAGGCACAACTGAAAGTATTTTTTAAAAGCTGTCTTTCGTTAAAATGCATACATGATTTTTGTTAAATGTGTGTGCATGTGGACTTTGGGAGAAGGATGTGTTATCTCTTCATGCAAACTGGTGAAGTTGAATATAACTGTGAGCAACAGGTATTTATTTTTCACTTGCAATAAATTTTACAACATGTATTTTACACTTGTTTGAATCTTATGCTGCTAGTAGTTACAGTTTAAGATTTTACTATCATTTAGGTTTTGAAATCTAGTGATTTGAAAGTAAATGTTTTGATACATCTAACAATCTCTTATAAAACTGAGTAATGGTATGCCATTTTACTGTAGTTTAAATAATTTTGTAAACTAATCAGGGCAGGGACTGTGGATTGTGTCCTTGGAGCACTGAGAGTGCATTGTCAGGGTGTAAATAAAACCAAATTCATATTTACTTGTTTGTTATATTAAAGCTTGTTATACGGGTAACTTTTGGGGAGGGAGGGCTGGCATTCGTGGAAATAGACCAGATACTAAATCATTGTGGTGTGATACTATATGGGAGGTGTCAGGGTCCCTCCCTCCCCTCCCCCCCACTCTGAACTCTGGGCTACAGCTGTGGGGACCCACATGAAAGATCCCCTAAGCTTATATTCTACCAGCTTTGGTTAAAACTTCCCCAAGATACAAATTCCTTTCCTTGCCCTTGGACGGTATTGCTGCCACCACGAAGTGATTTACACAAAAATTCAGGGAAAGGTCACTTGAAATCCCTATCCCCACAAAATATCCCCCCAAGTCCCTTCACCCCCTTTCCTGAGGAGGCTTGAGAATAATATACCAACCAATTGCCTTAGCAATATGAGCACAGACCAGACCCTTTGTCTTCAGGACACTGAAATCAATCAGGTTCTTAAAAGAAGAACTTTATTTATAAAGAAAAAAATAAAAGAATCACACCTGCAAAATCAGGCTGGAAGGTAACTTTACAGGGTAATAAAAAAATTTAAAACACAGAGGATTCCTCTTTGGGCTCAGCTTCACAGTTACAAAAACAGAAATAAAACTACCTCTGTAGTATAGGAAAATTCACAAGCCAAAACAAAAGATAACCTAACACATTTCCTTGCCTTACTTACAATTTCTGTGCTTTTAAATGGATTATTCCAGGTATATTTTCAGGAGATATTGTACCTGCTTGGCTTCTCCCTCCATCCGGAGAGGGAACAACACACACAACAACAAACAAATCCTCCCCGCCCAAGATTTGAAAGTATCTTCTTTCCTTATTGGTCCTTCTGGTCAGGTGCCAGCTACGTTATTTGAACAGCTTAACCCCTTACAGTTAAAGTAATCCAGTACAGCTGCCAAGGAGGGATTTTATGCGACTGCATACATAAAGGTTGCTACCCTTCTCCCTATATTTATGACAGGAGGATATTATGAAATGTGTTTATTATTTAAAACAAAAAACCTCCCAAGACTTTTGATACTGTGAATTGGAGCAAGCCACTGCATCCTGAAGACCTCCTCAGATAGCTATATAGCTCCTTTATTACAAGTCTTAACAAAAGCCAAGTCCTGTAGTTAACATTACTGTATAAATTAACTATCATTAACACACAGCTGCACGGAAGTAAGACTTTTTTCAAATGGCTGTAGAAGTCTGATGGGTATAGAATTCTGTCTTTATCCAGTTAAGGAGAGAGTCTAGAAAGCTGTACCACAAATAGATTTCATCAAATGTAAAAGTTAATTACATGTAACCATGTTGTCTCCCCCCTCCTACACACACCTCCCTTTCTATATCCTGATTGCCAGTTTAAGAGCTGCTATTCTCTGCTCAGAGTAACAAAGGAAAATAAAGTTCTGTCTTTTTCTCCAAAGAGGGGAAATAAATGAACAGAAAACTCTCCTTTGAACTGCTACTTGCCAGTCTGTGGATTTGCTGAGAACACTTGTGTGAAGCAAACAAACCACCCTTCCTGTAAGAAATCTGTACCACTTGTCAGAAATATCAGTTGTCCTGTATGGGGAAAAAAAAACAGAAAGTACAGCCACTTATGATCGGTATGTAAGGCACATCAGGATAAGTTCAATGGGGGAAAGTGTTTTTCTTTGGCTATCCAGATAAGAATGTATTATAAGGTTTTCTTTTGATTTTGTGGCTGTGTTATTCCTCCTTACAGTTGTTGATTCCTATTATTTTGATAATGTTATTCCAGTAATGAATCCAGGTAATGATTTTTATGGTTTTTCTTCATCTTAACCCCTTCATTCCTGAAATCGTAACTCTGCAAAATATGGAAATACTATAAAGAGGCTAATGGTCCATTTTTTTTCTAACTTGATTTATCCAGTAAATGTGAAATACACAATAAAATCTATTTTTATTAATTTTTTGTTTTACTGGTGTGATTTACTACTGCTTCACCTGGAAACGCATTAGCTCCACTTGCTCTGGATCACAGGTGTTTGATATTTTATACTTGATTAATAGAAAGTACTTAACCTGAAGAGGACAAGTGGAAAGAATTCAGGCTGAAGGGGGACATTCATTTCCATTTAAAAATAACTATTCTTTATTGTATTGAAACATGCTCGTCTCTTGGGAGGTGCGTTCTCAACTAATGAAACTACTTCGTAGGCTTCCATTTTTATTTGGTGAGCATGTACTATAAATTAGATGCAGAAAATACAGCACTTTTTATTGAAGGCCATTCTAATTATCTTATCTTCAGCTGTTTGCTCCTTCAGAGTTACTTTTTATTACTGGGGATTTTGAGTGCACCAAGGAAAGCTGGTTTTTTTTGTTTTGTTTTTTTTTCCTTGCGTAGTTATTTTCTCTCTCTATCTCTCTCTCAATCTGGCCCAATAACTGTTTTTGGGCCAGAGAGATAAGGGGAATGACTGTGTAGTCCAGTGATTAGGGTACCCACTTGGGAGATGAGGCCCCAACTCCAGTCCTCCTGCTCCAATCTCTCACTCATTATTTATCAAGAGCGCAGCAGCTTTAACAGGAGATATTGGGGGAGCCCACCTTAGAATATCCCATAGCTCAGTGATTAGAGCCTACACCTGAGAGGTGTTAAGCCCCTGTTCAAATTGTTCCTGCCTCTGAGGCAGAGAGGGCTGAATTGAACCTGGGTCTCCCACATCCCTGATGAGTGCTCTAAACACTGGCTTAAAAGTTATAAGATGGGTGGTGACAGCACCGCCTCTTCCTCCAGCCAGATTTTGAGTGGGACAGATCCAGTAGGGAGCCTCTGAGCATGCCTCTGAGATTGGGCCCTGCATGTGACTTAGGTAGCCAAACATCTGTCTCTCCCTGGTTCATGAATTGCTGTGGGACCTAGGCAGAATATAGGCACCTGGATGCCTAGACTGAGGCTGCAGTGTGCATGCTCATAGGCAGGAATGTAGGGATGGTGGGAACTTCTTACTCTAAAACTTAGGCACTGGATGAGTTTAGACACCTACAGGATTCAGCAGGAGTTTTGTTGATCATAGTGGAGCCAAAATTGGGATTTACGTGTCCAAATGTGAGGTTTAGGCACCTAAACACCTTTATAAACTCAACCCTTAGTTTTTACAAGTAATCGTGTCAATTACCGTGAACCAATTCTGCCAAACATGGTTTAATTAGATGTTACTCATACCATAAAGTTGTCAAATTATGTCTTGCATCAATTCTTTAGGAAAGCATATCTATCTAATGTGCCACAGTCATGTTTTGTCCCCTGTTGAATGTAATTACCCTTGTCTTCCTTTCATTTGGTGATTTAAAAAAATTCATTCCCAGCCATTCATGTTGCTTTAAGGGACATAAATGGAATAACGAAGACCAGTTGTGAAGAATTGGGCTCTTTGTAAGATAGAACAATATTACTGAATTTCTGTTGTACTATTTTTACACACCAGAATGTTTCTGTCCAGGGAAGCTCCTTTTTAACACTCTTCCCCCGATATTGAACTTTTAAAGAGTATGAGAACTGTATGCCAACTGTGTCTTTGCTCCTTTCTCCAATAAATGTCAATACCTACCCTATTTCCTCACAGGAGAACAAAGGAGGTCTATACTACAAAGTTAGGTCGACATATGCTGCGTTAGGTCAATTTAATAATGTATGTGTCTACACTACCGAGTCCCTTCCGCCGACCTAAAGGGCTGGTAAAGATGACTTCTGTATTCCACCTCTGCGAGAGGCGTAGCACTTCAGTCAACCTCCACACATCAACATGGGGATAGTGTAGACACTGCACTGTGTAATTTGAATGAATTGGCCTCCAGGAGGTTTTCCACAGTGCTCCACTGTGACCACTCTGGAGAGCACTTTCAACTCCACTGCACGTCAGGCAGGTACACAGGGAACAGCCGCCCCACTGTTAAAGCCCTGGGAACTTATGAATTTTCATGTCCTGTTTGATCAGTGTGGAGAGCTCATGCACAGCTGACAATGGATGCTTAAGCCGCAAATGTGCTCCAGCATGGAACACACAGGATGCAGTGGATCTTATTGCTGTGTGGGGAGAAGAGTCTGTGCAGGCAGAGCTCCGATCCAGCAGAAGAAACACTAACATCTATGCGAAAATCGCGCAGAGCTTGGGGGAGAAGGGCTACACCAGGGACACACACCAGTGCGAAAATGTGAAATGTGAAAATAAAGGAGCTTCAGCAAGCATACCAGATGACAAGGGAGGTGAACAGTTGCTCTGGATTTGAGCCACAGACAATCCGCTTCTATGAGGAGCTGCATGCGATTCTAGGTGGTGACCCACCACTACCCAAAACGCTCCATGGATACCTCCCAGGAGCCTTGGGTGACCTCGGGCATCAACGAGGAGGATATTGTTGAAGAGGAGGAGGAGGAGGAGAATGCATCACACGCAAGCAGAAGATCCATTATCCTTGACAGCCAAGAACTTTTTTTTAACTCCGGAGCCCATCCCCTCACAGGACCAATTGTCGGCGGAGCGTGATGCTGGGGAAGGCACCTCTGGTGAGTACATGTTTTCAATCAAACTGTAACGGTCATATATTATTTTTAATGTTGAATCTGAATAAAAAAATTGGGATAGAAATTATCAGCAACCACTCCAGCTATGCAGAGGGTACTCGCCAAAAAAGACTTTATATGCCCAGGAATGGCCTGCGAATCTCTAGGAAGCTTTCATGGAGGTACTTTGCAATCCTTTGCAGAAGGCTTCTGGGAAGGCCTGCCTTATTTCATCCACCACGGTAGGACACTTTCCCACGACACTCCAGTATTAACTCTTCTGGCATCATTGCGACAAACAACACTACAGTATAAGGACCAGGTCTGTACCCAGATGCTTGCAGCATCTGCTCCCTTTCCACCTCTGTTACCCTCAGGAGAGTGATATCACATATGGTCACCTAGGGGAAATGGGGGAAGGCTTAAATACTAGCCCTTAAACTGCAAGCAATTAGAT